TTTCTAAAAGCCATATTACCCGCCTATTTGAAAAATTGTTTGAAAAATAAAACGTCATTTGTGACATATTTTTTGAAATTGAGGTCCTCAGTGTGAATAAATGAGCCTCAGACAGGAGTGTGTTAGGAGACGGACTAATGCATTGTTGATTAAAACATAATTATAGAACAATGATGGTCCTTTCTGCCAGAGTGCAGTCATGCAATTTAATGCTTCTCCGCGAGATGAAATATTTTAGCAACCAAATACAGAGAAACGTAAACGAGACACCATGTGAAGGCTGAACGGTCATTCTTGAGCCTGTGAAGAAAAGCTGAAACATACATCACATAGAAGTGTGCAGGAAAATGGGAAATGCTAGTTTTGTGGAGTAATTTAAGGAGCTCTTCGGGCTTATAAATGTTCTGGTTTGTAATAGAAAAGCTTTAAATTGAATAAATTCATTTTAATTCTATGTTTGCAAGTCAGATAGTCTCTAGAGACTCTTAAAAGTTTTATATTTTACACAAGTTTATCCTAATATAAAAATTGCCCCACAATAATATTTTTAATTAGTCTGGAAAATGCGTAACACTTTTATTTCTCTATTTGAAAGCAGTAAATAGTGACTTGACACACAACCAAGTAAAGACGCAAATACAAACATTTCTGCAAGCTCATGCACTTGCAGCACATGAATGTGTTTAAACACACATTAGGAAATGTTTGTGCTCAGTTTGCGAACCCACATGAGTATGCACGGACTCATTACCTCCAGCAGACATGAAAAACACCCACATCTGTGCAGAGGGCTTCTCATTGTGCAGTGTGGGCACAAGGACACGTACACGGAGTTCAAACAGTCAGGTGAGGATCCAGAATTTACAGAAGGCAGCGGGGGCATCGTTATCGCCACGGCAACGAGCAACACAGTGATGCAAGCAGGCATTATGTCATTAAATAAATCTGTCGTCCGCGGCCTCGGGCTGTTTCTGCAACCGCAGGAATTGTGGGGGTTTGCCGAGTAAAGATCCTGGCACGGCTCCGAAATCCAGAACGTCAGGACAAAGGGAGGATTTTTACAACCAGGTTTATTGTTTGTTTGAGAAGAAATGAACAGAACTTCATCGAAGCGTGTCTGCTATCACAGTGCATACATGTCACAACACAGGAGTGTGGATGCTTTACATGCCCTTTGGGGAGGAGACAGCGGAGGTAGTGGACGTGCTTCATCCCGACAGCAGAAACCTTCAGAACTCTGCTTACATGAACTGCAACTAGTCCAACTAAAAAACACCAGACTGCAAACTCTGAATCAACTGTGGAGATAATTCAAGAAAATATGCATGAAGCGCCCATCAGATATAGATTTTAATTACTTTTTTAGTGAGAATTTCAGATTTGCATTCGCCTGTTTTGAAAACATTTCTCAGGAACATTTAAGCTTCTTGAGCATAATTTATTAGTCTGACACTCAAAGTTCAGCTGTTGTGCTTCGTAAGGACACTGTGGGTATTGTTTGGTCAGACTTGACGGATGGCAGCTTGGCAACATAAGCAAAGCAACCCAACTGTCATATTCAGTGGCCTATTGTGAAATGTCAGATTTATGCAACCACGTATTCCTGTCCTGCCCACTTCCATCCAATAAAGAAAGCACACACATACAAAAACCAGACATGGTTGTATTGTGAAACAACCAAAACAGATTAACCGAGATTAGCCCCGTTAATAGACTTTCAGAGTATTTTATCATATTACGAGGGAACAGCAGAAATTTAAAGGCAATTTGTGTCATGTGTGTTTACAACGGGCTCTCTGCTGAACTTGCTGGAAGGCTGAATTACAGTAAAAAGCTTCTGTTTCTGTCAGGCTGTACTGAGTTAGTCCAGAGCTGTTATCAAAATGTTCAGCCAGGCCTGGGTTGTGGGAAACAGGATGGTTTGTTAGGATCATTTAAGCACAAAAGTGAACGAGAGCTGCAACCAATATAGAGATTTATAGACATTTATGTAGAGAAATGGTACATATTGTGCCTTAAAGTAGGTTTTGTAGGTATTTAATCATAAAGCAAAGTACAAGGCAATTTACCTTTTCCTAGCCTGACTGACCGAATGTAGACTATGGGTATAAGCAACCACAGAAAGCAGCAACCGACATGCTGAAAATGGCCGTTTTTACCAAGGATTTGGATGCAATAAGGCATCTGTGTGGGGGTTTTTGGGGGGGGGGCAAATAAGCCATTTTAATCACCTCCTTGAGTGCAAATGTTCCAAAATATATTTGCTGTTACTGTTTTGAAGGGGCACCATCACTGCATCCTGGGCTCAGCAGATGATTGTGAGACACTAAGTTTGATCATGAATGTGTGCAGCAAATGTCACAACAATGCATCAAATAGTTGTTTAGATGGATTAAAGTCAATGAAAAATGTCATTTTTTTGCCATTTTAGTGAAGTGATGAAGTGACTGAGCAGCTAGCATGGCAACGGTTCAACACAACATGCTGTCATACAACACTGAGTGCGTCCTCGCTCAATGTGCAGCAGAGTTTTTGAGAAGCCAGATAATCAGGTTTTTTGGAATAAAGTCTTTAGTAGGATAGTTGCAGTTCATGTAAACCTTCTAAAGTGCTTCACACAGGTGGATTTTCACTCCAGTATGTTTGCTTTTAGTTGGTAGATTTCTATCTGGAGCACTGGTACACGGATGTTTACAGCAAAATGTAAGGTTGTTCCTCCTCCTCAGGTAAGGATACAGAGCACTTTTGAACAAAATCACCAATCTTACACAGATTTAACACAGTTTTTGGCAATAATAATAATAATAATAATTCAACTGTCCAAACAATAAAAGTGTCCTCACAAAATTAGCGAATAAAATTCAGTTATTTCACACAATCTGCCCTAATTTCAGTAGAGACAGTCCACCACTTCAGACTTATTCCACAGAGATACATGAATATGTGATGGGAGTCAAGTCAGGCACAGAGATTTTCACACCAGGACGAAAGATTCAGCTTCAGCTTTCTATCAAGGTACGAAAATGAGCAGAGCTACCGTTTGGCAAAATACAGTTGAGTCCGTTTAGGAGCGTGTCGGTTTTTACACGATTGAAGAGGTCACAACCCCTCATTTTTCTTTATCAAACAAGAACACAATGTCCCTTAAAACGTGCGATACCGACGAATGTACAGCAGAGCAGCAGCAGCAGATTTACAGTGCAGGAAACTGGACCACGACGTAAACCAATCAGGGGAATTTACAGCCATTAAGATCCATTATTTATCATGTTAATGGACATATTAGTAATATAACTGCCATTACCAGCACGGTTAGCATCGCAGATAGTACAGAGGGAACAACACATCTAAGCATAACATACGAGTGCATGTGGTTAGATCTACAGCAATCTAATCCGTCTGCCAATTAGAAATATTCCGGTTTATGAAGTCGTGATGAATGTAAACATTTCTGTCTTTGATTGGCACAACATGTGATGCTGGTCTGGTGGTTTTTCAGCACTGTGGGTCTCAACTTTAAAGAAATAGTTCAAGAAATATGCTCATTTTCTGTCTTTCTGAGAGTTATGAGAGGTTTTTAAATCACTCTGATATCTGCGGATAAAGATAAAAGCAAATAAAATTAAATCTAAATTTGTTTTATCCAAACCAAAAAAACGAAATAAAGATTAATTGCAGTTTTAGAGCATAACAAAGCATGTAAGTAAATCTGATATAATATACAGACTTTGTAGTGTAGTTGGGCAGAGCCATGCTAGCCGCTTCCCCCCGTTTCCAGTCTTTATGCTAAGCTAAGCTAACTTGCTAACAATTTTAACTTTATATTTAGAAAGTAGCATCAATTTAATGCACTTTTTTTCCCTCCAAAATGTCAAACTATTCCTTTAAAAGCAGGATGGACAGTTTGTGGACACAGCTGACTGGTTTAGAGATAAAGTTTGGAGTACAGTTAGATTTTTCTAATAATTTTTGTATTTTATTTCAATCTTAATGTCCTTTTTTTGTATTGTTTCGTGGTTGTTTATACAAAATGCAAAAATGAGAACACAAAAAACACCCACTTCTAGAAAAATAGCAAACAATGTAAAGATGTTCTTGTGTTGTATTTTCAAAAAAAATACCAAAAATACACGTAAAAGCACCTTGAAGAGAGATTTTAAAAGCTTCCTTCATCACAGACTGGAAGGAAGGAAAACCCAGCTCTAACTACGTGTCAGTCTACATCGATTTTTCTTCCTTTTCTACCCACAGTGCCGAGACCGTCTCCACGACATGTTGAAGCCAACAACAGCTTTACTCCTGTGTGCTTTTATTCTCGACCATCGTAAGAGGAAGATTCCTAAACGAAGTATAAAGTTTGAGCGGTTTGGTGTAAACAACATAATCACATGGATGCAGACAGCTGGAGGAGCACGACACACCTGAGCTGTGAGAAGAAATCTATCAGCGAGCCTCCGCTCTGTCCAGCAAAGCAGAGGTGAACAAAAACACATGAAGACAGTACCGGTCCGTTCCCATCACCAACCTTCTCCCGCAGGAGCGCAGGCACAAAAAAAACAAAAATTATGGAGAACGCTGTGGACCTGAAGTGATGACGGCGCACCGCTACGTTAGCAACACAGCTTCCTGTCAAAAGCAGACAGGATGTCAAACTTGAACATGACGAGTGAGCAGCTGTGGGAACGAGTGAGAACCTTCTGGGCAACATGAAGCAACCTTTAAAATCTAGTTCCCACAACGTTATGCAACAACGATCGCCTCGGCTTTCACATTTTCTTGAGGACGAATGCCTTCTTTTGTGCTAAGACTCTTCTTATTTACACGTACATATGTTTTCTCTAAAATGCTGCACCGACAAAACCGATGTCCTGCAGCTACAGTCAGTAGATTCATCAGGACTTTTTCCTCTTTTTTTTTTTTCCCCCCCAAAAGGCTCCATTTACTGTCAACAAAAAGAAAAATCTCTCTATCAGCATTAAGACTAAGGGCAAACAAAAATGTTCAAAAGTGACCCTGAGTTGGTGAATGGCCGTCCGAGAGGTGAAAAGCTTTCAAGAAGCTGCAGGTAGAAGTGAAACAAGCTAAAACACTACACGCTATCTTCACTATTTAACACATGATTCACATTTTGTGCGTATTGTAAACGTCTACGTGCAGCTTCGTGACGTTACACCCACAGGCCAAAGCAACTGCAGCAGGATCAGCCAGGCAGCTGGAGTGTGTGTTTGTGTGTGAGAAAGAGAATTTGGAGGAGGAGGACCGATGCATCAACCCGTTGGTCCGTTGAACCAGTGATGCCCTCCCCGCTCGCCTTTTTCCTTCCGTTTTCTGGTGCCCCAGGTGAGTCGAGGCTCCGGGGCTTCACCCGCCGGCTCCTGACGGACGATCTCTCAGGTGAGGCTGTCACGTCCTCAGCTTCAGGATGACCGTCGCCAGGATGAGGAAGAAAGTGTTCCAGCCCAGAGTGACGGCGAAGCCTCGCCACACCATCATCCGAGACAGACCCCAGCCTGGTGGGTAGATTTACATTTACTATGCAGGTACAGGAGGTGGACACAGACATGGACTCAGCGATACATTTATATTTGATTGGAGTTGTTCAAGCCCTTTTCAGTGACGTCAATTCAAACAAAAGTTCTCTTTTACGTTCATGTTTCTCACGACTACATCCAGACATACCCATGACAGTGACTCAGCGAGCCGTGGTGATATTTGTCATACACATGCATATAATTTATAATTACGTGCCAATAAAAGGCTTAATCTAAATCTAAATGGAACAAAGGATTTAACTCTGTGTGACAGCTCACCTGTCTGAGGTGAAGGAAGGTACACACCTGCTGTTAGATCTTAACTGATCCTGTCTCCATGTCAGGGATAGTCAGGAAGTAATAAATGCTGTTACTGAAACTCTCCTGCTTTAAAAAAAAAACACCCTGCTGTTCTTTGAAGCTGCCAGTATTTAATAAACTCAGAGGAAATAGTCCTAAACAGCTGGAAGCAACAAACATTTATTATTGCTAACTACTACTGATCTGACCTGTTACAGACTCGGTATTCAGAGAAGCAACGTTTTATTTAAATGGACATTTAAGTTTTTAATAGATGTAAAACTGGAGAGCAAAGTGAAGGAGGAAGTTGTTTTAGGGCCACAAACTGTCTTTTGCTCTCTCAAAGGTTTTTCGGCTAAACTAATGCTCAAACTGCTTCCCATAGTCGATGTATTTTGTGATCTTGTGTGTGCCCGTCTAATAATGTAACAGCAGTTCAGACTTCTGCCATGTTAAAATGTTACAGGGCAACAGTCATAGTCGCAGCTTTGACAAAGTGCAAATTCAGACGTGTTCAGTTCAGGTTAACAGACAGGAGTGCATGTCTAAAAAAAGTCTTTATTAACCCGACTAGACAAGAGAGGACGGTGGTTAACGAAGCAGTGTGAAGACATCTGCAGATCCACGACAGCTGGCAAACACCATCCACTGATGAAGGTCGTGACACATGATGGGAAGCATGAATGGACCTTCTGGTAAGAGTGTTTCCTTCATTTATATCCTTGTCTTCTTGCTCTATATGAAAGAACGGTGTCTGCAGCTATGATATAAAAATCATAGCTGCAGAAACCAACAACATTGCAGTAACTCAGCTGTAGCTTGAACTGGGTGTATTTTCATCTGTGTGCAGGCTAATGGAGGCTACAGTGGATGCAAGCATGCAGCGGAATTTGCACACAACGTTTGCCAGTGAATCCAATTAGCAAATGAGGCAGGATGAAGCTGCAGCTGCCAAGCTAAAAAAGAAAAAAAGAAAAAGTTTCAGCTAATCCCCTGAATTGAATCCTGACACTTTCGACTTCTCGTCTTCCACCGCGCCTCGGCGATACTGTTTTCAAACCGGAAGCGGGTCCTCTGGCTTCCTGCGTATCGTGTGACACGGAGGGAGCCGTCGCCGGCCGTTATTGTTCGGAGGCGCCGAGGTCAAGACAAGGAGAAAAGGCCGGGAGACGGAGCGAAACCGCTACACCTTCCACTCCAGGAAGATGAGTTACACAGGATCCAGGGCTGATGAATGATTTAGCCGCCGGCCTCGCCACGTTGTGGACGACCATCTGAGCCGCGTGCAGCCGGCTCTCACACATGCTACCTCCACGCCGAGCAAGGCGCGGGAGCTTGTGGTGTTACGAAACCGTCAAACGAGTGTTGTGCAACGTGTGCGTCGTGTAGCTTACCTCTGTACATGATACAGCGAAGGGCTTCGGACGCGTAGGTCTGAGGAAGCGCCAGGCTGATGTAGCGGAGAGGATACGGGATACACTCCACCGGCCAGATGATACCTACATGACAGGACGGAGAGGACACGGTGTCACCTGCTGCTAACATACATCCCCGATAACCAGCAGTCGTTGATGAATCCCCTCTGTTTTTGTCTGATTCAAATCAGGGGAGAAACAACAAAAAGTTCAACGGAGGAAAGCAGCTGAGAAAATAATCTGGTGTCACGGTTCGTTTAGTGGCTGCCTTCAGTCACATCACATGGTCTTCATCAGCACATGCAGCTCCTTCCCGGTTTCCACTGAACTACAGATTCACATTTCCATTTGGTCTGAGCACTACAAGGTGTCCTGGCTTAAAAGCTCAAAGACGAAAATCATGCAATATGACTGAACTTTCCAGAAGCGAGCAGCTACTACGTTTACCATGTGGGGAGATTTTTTTAAATAAATTCCAGGTTTTAGTCTCGCCAATCTGTAGAGAGCAATGTACTGTAACATCAACATAAACATGAATTGATTATTAAGAAGAATAAAAAAAGATATTAGAGCTGAAGTTCAGTTTGTTGCTTCCAGCTGTTTAGGAGTCTTTCCTCTGACTGTGTTCAATACCTGCAGCATATGAGCATCTCCATCGAGGCAGAGGCTTCATTATTACTCATAATTCTAAATTATCCCCAACATGGAGACAGGATTGGTCAGAATCTAATCTGTTGTATCGTGGTCGTCCTCAGGTTGAGTTTGAGGCTCATCTCAGCTCTCTGGTCATTTTAATTTTACGATTTTTAAAGTAGTAGACGGTTTATCAGCACATAGACAGAATTCTCAGGCTGCTTTTTTGTTTATTCGTGCATTAATATGCATTGGACATTACCAGATGACTTGTCCATCACATATTTCCTGCATATCGAGGCTCTTTCAGTCGTGATCACGTCTGAATGAAGCCGTGAGAAGCAGCAAACAGATCGGTGAAGCGAGCAATGTTACGTATCGTATGTCTGAAACTGGCTTATACCTGTCACAGTTTGTTTAAAGGCACATTTAAGATAAAAACTGCTTCGCTAAAGTTCTTTCCAATAAAAAACGATCATGATTTGCATCACGGAATAAACCCAACAAGTTTAAATACTGGGGTTAAGACATTATGGTGTAATTTTACCAGAATATTTTACATATTTGGGATTAAAAACGCTGTAAAACACTACTTTACTCGACATACATTAAGGCGGAGACCCTACAGTCTTACTAATTATGGAGAATAATCTAACTAATGTAAAGATGTAACCATGGAAGCTGGCAATGGTCAGCGACCTAATTCAGTTTCATGTTCACGTTTAGATCAATCAGTGGTGAATGTATGAGACACATGCACACGCCGAGGCTTTTCTAATGCACACACTCAAACTCAACATACACCAAGACCACCCACTGGATGACGACGAGGACATGATTTACTTCTTTTTGCTCTCCTAATTTAGCTCAAGTGTTAGAGAAGAATTCGACCCACGCATCCTCCTGAAGCCTCGAAACTTTTTGATGTTCTAAACAAGTATTCTTCTGCTCTGCCCACACGCAGGGCTTACACCCAGTTCACAACATCAAAGAGTCTTTAATCAGCTTTCCTGGTCCAATAATGCTCCAGTAATCAGACTCCTACAGACGGCTAACACTCGCGCACACTGAAGAACAGGTGAGGAACAGTCAAACTCTCTGCTCACCACTGAGGATGAGGTTGGGGTAGAAGATGCCCAGGGCCGCCTGGTTGGCGTTCTGCTCGTCGTCGATGGCGGCCGAGATGACGAGGCCGAACGAGATGCCGGTGACGCCCTGCAGCACGATCAGGATTATGACCAGGACCAGGGAGCCTTCGTTTGGCATCTGCAGAACGAGGAAAAAGATGAAGAGCAGGGGTGAGAAACGATAACAGGCTGGAGAAAGATGAGGCTAAAGCAGACCTCCACAGTCTTATTCATTATGTTTGCATACATAAACACAAAAACATGTAGACAACCACAAATTCAACATAGCATCACACCAAACACGATGCCTCATGTTGATCCACTGGATGAGAAAGTTGAATTTTAGTTTTTTTAATATAAAAGATCTGTCCTTTTGCAACCTCACTTTTCAAACTCACACCAGTCGACAGTTTGTCACCTCTTCTTAGAAAATAATGTAAATCTGGATCTACTGGGGGGAAATATGGTGTTTTAGGAACATTAATATTACCAGATAGGGGTCAATGATCAATGAGATGTATACAGGGAAACTGAAAAGCTGCTTCTGATACCTCCTGAAATATTAAAGAGAGAGAACGAGATGTGCAAAGTGTTTGATGGACCAGAGCTGAAGCCAAAACTCACATTTTAAATGAGTGCAGAAATCAAATGCACACATGTGGTTCTTAAAGGGAAACGTATTGATTTTGCACATCAAACTCTGTCTGCAGGTCTCTGAAAGTACGACTGCATGTGCCAAGAAGGTTGTGGCACCAGAAGATGTGCAGAATTGCATCAAGTGAAGTTTATAGATGAGTCTGAAGATGAGTTTTAAATTGAAAAAACAAAACAAGGAGGATGTAGAAGGAAGCGAGATGACCAGACTGTTCCTCATGTCTGCTTAGGGCAAGAGGCTCAATGCTACTAGCACAATAGTTGGTGGTTAGAAGGTTGAATAGATTATAAAAGATGACCTCTCTGAACCCTGATCTGCAGTGGGAATTAAACTCACTGCTGCGTTAGAAAAATGCAGCTCCTAGCAGCTATTAGCATCTCATTAGTCTGTGTGTGCCAGCGCTGTGGAATAGTCTGACTGCACCTCATTATCATTCTGCTATAGAGGCTTGTTTGTATGTCTTTGAGCTAATCATGTTTTTCTTTGGGTGCTGCTAAAGCCCGGGATGCAGCAACGGTGCCCCTGGAAAACGGGACAATCTGCCTTTTGCACGATCTAAACGCTCAACAGAACCCGACATTCTCAACATGCATTTTGCTGCTTCGAGGCTATTGTTGAGAGAAAACTGTACCATGCACACACCAGTTACTGGAGCAGAAAACCAGGTGAAAAAGAGGAAGTGAACCAACACGACATTCATAGTCAGGCTAGCATGTTATAAGCTACAAACATGTGATAAATGGAAGTCTGTAGGTGCTGCTGTTGTTCTGGAGTTCATAAAAAAGATCTTCCAAACACCCCTTTTTTATTACAACTGCATGCGCCATTAAAGATTATTTTTAGGAGCATTTTATGGCGTCATTGGACAGTGATGGTCAAGAGAGACGGGAATAGAGCTGTGGAGCCAAACCACACGGCTATAGTGTCACCCAGTTAGAGGCTATTTAAAAAGGTGTCTACAAACTCTGAACACGTCCTTTCACCACAAACACTAATGTACTAATAGACTGAGGAAAAAGTTGCTTTCATCCCAGTTGAAATAGTTCTTTAATATTTACACGAGAAGCTGTTAAGCATTAAATAGCGGTGGGTAAAATTTATCATGTGTCAGACGGTGGGAGAGCAGAAGTGTTTGGGAGGACGGATCTGAAGATATGGCAGAGAAAAAAAAGAGAAAGAGAGGAAGACCTATAGAGACAAACACCCAAAAAGACCACAAGAAATGAGGTTAAAGTCTGGCACTCACGAGACACGAAACTGTTCAAAAAAATCATATAAAAACAGAGAAAAGTCTCGGCTCAGAAGATTCAAAGTGATAACTCGACTACAACGTACGTGTGTGTGTGTGTGTGTGTGTGTGTGTGTGTGTTAAGACACTATCCGTCGCCCCTGACGACGTGCAAAAATAGACCTGCACCGAGAGGCCACATGACCGCTCGGTTGCCACAGCAATCAAGGGCTGTTGTCGTGGCGATCCCGCAGTGATCCCTGGATACGGGCAACGCGGGAAGTGATTTATGGAGTGGTGGTCTCTTTGGACTCCAGCGCCTTAATTAACACACACACACACACCCAAAAAAAGCCTGCATGGACTCGACACAAACACACACACTTCTCCCGGCGTCGGCTCCACACACGTATCTGCTGATAATCAATAGCAAACAGTCCTGTTGAACCGGACCTCGACGACCTTTACACCGCGCTTCCTCTACATTATTTTTATAGCAGGAAAAATGAACGACACATCCTGATCTTGAAAATTAAAGGCTAATAAAAAGCCGTTTGGTGGCGACGACGGCGGAGCGTTATTAACATAATTACGGCTCTAATCCGCGGTAGGTGAAGTCAGACTTTTGATGATGTTGTAAAAATGCTAATGGGGCGGCTAAAAAGCCCGCCAGGTTGGTGAAACATTAACCTTGAACATGTCAGAACTGCTGCCTGCATGTCAAACTCTCCAAACCATCAGCTGGAGGCTCCGTCCAGCTGAACAAACCCACTAAATATTAAAAGAGGAGAAATCTTGTGTTTCAATCAGCATCCAGTGATATAACTGTGGTCTGAGTGGAGGTTGAACTCTGTGGTCGCAATGAGCAGCGGACACGATCGATTAGAGAAACATCTGTGGAGGTGAACGTCTGTGATGCTGTTTCTATCAGTCTGCCGGTATTTCCCCGGCCGTCACTCTCCTCCCTGCGGGTCTCGTTTTCGCGGCGATCGATGAGGTTTCATTTGGTGCGTTTTGTGTATCTGCATCGTTTGCTCCAACCTTGAAGACGAGCAGGATGAAGAGGAGCAGCAGGATGATCTGAACGCTGATGACGAACAGCTGAGAGAAGAGGTGAGCCAGCATCGTCTCCAGGGAGCTCACACCTGGAGCAGGCAAAGAGACAGAGATCACTGCATTGTTTTCATTTCCAGTGAGAAAACAGAACAACAAAAATCACATTTAGGCAATTATTTTACTTCAGAGCTGCAGCTTGTTGATTCATCGATCAAAAATGAGCAACATCTTCTCCTCCTTTAGGTCTTTTACCACAAAAACGACAAATATTTCTGATTATTTGATGGATTTTAGGTTCTTAAGTGACAGGTTTTGCTCATCATCCTTCTTTTCCATGACAGGAATTTGAAGAACTTTGAATTTTAACCGTATATAACAACAGAATTTCTGTGAATTACAATAAGTGAAGAGACAGCTTCTGTTAAATCCTGACGTGTGAACATTTGGGAAAACAGACCGTCACCTCATGTACTGAATGAAGAGCTCGACTGGAGGAGGAATCTGACGCTTTGTTCTTTTGGATGGTCAGATTTGCTTTCATTTGTTAACCGTTTGGTGCTACATTGTGTGGAGCAAAGACAGATACGGGGTCCTGGAAAACCTGGAAAATGACTGAACAATTTTCCAGTCATGGAAAATGAGAAATAAGGTCAAATGTCCTGGAAACAGTTAAGTTATCCTGGAAAATGATTTGTCCTTCCAACTCCAGTGTGTCATGCTAATTACTACGCTGTAACCTGTGGGTGTGTTTGCATTATTCTGTGATACATCTGTCAGAATTATTTTTCATAGATAAATTATAGACTGCAAACGTCTGAGTAATAAACATGGAAACAATCGGGGTAAATGCAAGAAGCTGCAACTGTGGAAAACACTTCCAAAGAATGAGGGGGACGGGAATGTACGTCATGGTCGCTCTTCTTCAGAACAACCAGCTCCAGCAACCCTTTCTCTTCGTCTTTTCTTTCCCTGCCTCCTGTTCTTCTGGTTTCTTCTCCAGCTTTTTCTTCTCTGTCTTTTGTTTGTTTCTTCTGAAACAACTGAAGAAGCTCCTCTTCTTTTTCTTCTTCTCTTGGAGCTCTTCTTCCTCCCCCTCCACAGTTATTTCTTCCTCCTGCAGGTTGTTGCTTTCCTGCTCCAAGACCAAGTCGGTTTGGTTTTCTGCTTGGTCATTGGTCTCTTCTGGCACTTCTTTGTCCTGTTCCAGAACCCTCTCAGAGACAGCTTCACCGGTCTCCATCTGCAGGTCTTCCTCTGACTCAGTCGTTTCCTCCTGCAGTGTCTCCTTCTCTACTTCAAGAGCCAGACTGAGGATCTCCTGTTCCCTCCTGCTGATCTCCTCCTCCAGCTGATTGCTGTGCTAGTGCTTCATCTATCAGACTTTTCAAACGAGGGACTGTAACAGGGAATGCTTTTTTTTTAATATAACTGAATTTTTTGGGCGGTTTTTAGAGCCTTGTAGGAAGACAAATTAAGACAACGCACCAGATCTGATGACGTTTTTGGGTTCTACGGGCAGGAAAAGTTATCCTAGGATGTCTCAGAGCTCCATGTGCCATACTGTATGAGCAGTCATGTCAGAAGGTGGTCTGAGAGGCTAGTTTGGCAAAAGTTTTTCTCCATGGTTGTGGCACAGGAGCAACTGCGATTGTTTTCCAGAGGAATCTGAGAGAGTGACCTGGAAGATCCTCAGAAATGGGTTGATTTCATGAGGAATGAGCCGACAGTAAAGCAGCAGGTTACTGTTGTGGAGATACTTAAACTTTCTTATATTCAGCTTTAAATAACAGACTTTAATAACTTTAATAACAGAACTCAGCTACATTTATTCTACACACAGGCTTTTCTATGAGCGGTCTTTTCTCCACTGTAGTCGTAAGATCGACAAAGGACAGTTTTGATATCCAACCACAGAAGACGAACGCAAATAAAGAACTAAATAAAGCCGTACTGCTGAATGCCGGACAAACAGCTGATTACATCTGTTCTTTTTAACTTATTCAAAGACGTTCACCAATATTTTTTTTCTTTCCTTCCTAATTCTACAGGATTTTAATTGAAACTGCTGTTGCTACACAATTTGTACTCATAGACTCTATGTATGGATGGACAACATCGATCATCTCATATTTATGACAAAATTTTAAAATATATTGTTTTTCCCCGCGTTATTTCTTTGCATTCACTAATTAACTGCCCATTTGAGACCAATTTATTCTCGTTTCTGAGTATTTCTTTGTCACTTGGAACTAATTTTTGAGTCAGTGTGGAACTCTTCACTCAAGTTGGGCAACTTTGGCGTCAATGTGGACAATTTAAAGCTCATTTTTAGACAACTGTGGGGTTGTTTTGGACGAACTGTGTCACTGAAAGGACCTGTGAAACAAAGGAGATGATGAATGTGCAGGAATCTCTCTTTACACACCGACTCTGTTATTCAATCTTATCCGAGCCTATAATCAATGTAAACACTTTGTATATTAAATATGCAATTTGTGGATTCCTGATAACTATTTTAAAGGTTAAAAAAATCACTGATGAATAAAAAAGGAAACAGCTGCTCAGTGTAACTTCTTGCTTGTGGATCACCATAATTTTTGAATCCTGCTGTGATCACGTTCCTCCCTCTACTGGTCACATCTCAAACTACACCTAAATGATGCATCGATTGGATTCTGGCCAACATTACAGCTTTAACACCCACACAGGTGACGTATATCCCAATGATTTAGCTCAAAAACAATCCAGACTAACTTTCAAATAAACTACAATGTGTGCTGTCAGAGGACGAGGTTTTCAGAAAAGATGCCAAAAATCCAAACAGCGTACGTACAACATGTTTCCTACAGGATCTAAAACTCCTTTGTGTTTACCAGAAAATGTACTTTACCAAAGGAATGAGTGACGTTTGTGAGTGCAAACAGCAGCTGTGATATCTAATAACTAATGATCTAATTTGGAGGAAATTCAAGGACAAATAAGTTGCACAGAGGAAAGAGAAATTCTTTCTTTGGCTGCTTCACTCATATCCATAATTACTCTAATTTTAGCGGCCGTGTCCTTTTTTACGCTGGCATGTGAGAAAAATATTGGATCTCTTGATTGTACTCCATGTTCCCCTTCATTCTTCTCAGTATGAATCCACTCACACACTTAAAATAACATTTAAAGTGGCGGTAATGGCAGTGTTTTGTGTTTGCGTTGGACAGATGTGAGCTCACCTGCAACCCAACACCTGTCCAGAAGCCCCTCCTTCCTCTCCAGGACGAAGGAGAGCGCCGTCAGACCCACGGCCAGGTAGAAGGTGATGCTGGAGAAGTAAAGGAGGCGATTAATCACATGTCCGAGCTCATAGCATAACCAAATTATTGCACTTCTAATATATTCTGCAGCATAAATAAACGGTGCAGTAAGAGAATAAAGCGACCAACGTGCTGTACTGACCTGAGAACAGCTCCGGGTGTCACAAACGTAGTGAAGTCGGTGTTTTGGCTGCCATAGATCGGCTCCTCGAACTAGAAGACAGCAGCGAGAAAAGGTTTGTTTGTACATCATGTAGCTTCAGCAGGAACACAACATTTATAGGACTTTTATTGCTTTGTGTTTGTGGACATTTAGTTCACAAAGTTGTGCCTCCTGTGAGATTCAACACAAATATTTCTATTTCTTTATTAAATGAAGCTTCAAACAACAATCGTTTTCATTGCTGATTATTCGTTTGATGTATAAAATGTCAGAAAATGCAAAAAAAATTTGGATAAATGTGTCTAAAATGACCAATTTCTTGTGTTGCCTTAAAGATATTCAGTTTAGTGTCACAGAGGAGTAAAGAAAACAGAAAATATTCACATTTCAGAAGCTGAAATCAGAGGAACTTGGACTTTTTTTCTGAAATAATGAATTAATCAATGATAAAAGCAGCTCCTAAACTCTCTTACCTTTATAGGCAGGGCGACCAGGTACGACATACTACCCAACTTATTATCCACAAAACCCTGCAGACAGACAGAAACACAGAGTTAAAGCAGAGTTATGGTTCATATCAGACGGAAACTTTGACTGTATTTGAGTTGTGAAAACATTCAGTGAGAGAATTTATCAGCTTTTACACAGATGTGATTACAAAAGAACTAAATGAGTGATTGAAGCTGTTGTTTAACAGCTTAAATAGTCAAGTGTCCTCTACACTAATCTGAACAATCTACACGATGCAGGACTAATAAAACTGCTGCTCAGCTGTTTGTGTCGCTGTTTAGTGTAATTATGACTGAATGAATGTTCGGAGTGACACTTACAAGCAAACATTTGTATGTGTTCAGATGTTTTGAGTCTCATTTATACCTGAAAGGCTTCGTGGAGTTTCTTCTGCAGCATGAAGGCAATCTGTCGATCTGGAAAATAAAATATATGAACAACATGAACTGAAAACTTCAGCTTCTCAGAGTCACACTAGATGACGCACATGTGTGTGTGTGAGGTGTGTCAATGACTACTTTTCCTTCAGGATTTTGTATATATAGAGAAACATGAAAAATCCCAAACAACAAAAAAAATAAATTAAAAAATTATTAAAAAAATCCTCATGTTTTTTGGTATTACTCCAGATATTAACGGTTATTTTTACTGTTTGTCGTGCACCGCAATGACAATGTTGAACAATAATTAATAACAATAATATCTCCTAGTTAATACATCAACAAACAACATTCATATTTAGAAATATTTATTTACATTACACTGGTTATTTGTACCATTTCATGACATGCATGTAAGTATATATTTGCATTTGCACAGTTTGTAATTACGATATCTTTATTCCTTATCATATATATATATATATATATATATATATCCTCATTCTTATATTCTATGCTTGCACTATTCTCTTTTTATACTTGTGTTTGCACCATTTCTTATATGCACATTGTTCTTCTAGTATGTGTGTATCTCTGTGTGTACTGCTGCTGACAACAATGTGAGATAAATGAAGGCATGTCTTATCTTATCTTAATTGGTATAAAATGCAGAGAGAACGGTTTGAATCTTACTGGTGAAGTCCAGCCAGACGTGCACTGATCCTCCATCCACCACGTCTCTGGAAACCTGCCGCTGGATCATCCTGCAAAATCAGAAGAACTGTTTACTACTATACTAGAATATAAATGCTGCAATAAAAGCAGAAATAGGAGGGATAAAATGCAGTTTTTTTTAATATTATTGGCCAGTGCAAGTGTTTTACTGATAGATTACAAACAAAACAAACAGACCTGGTGACCAATTCTTTCATTTCATCGAGTTTTACTTTAAGTTAATTTTCCTGATTGAAGATAAAATATTTTATCTTGACAAATATTCAGGTTTTAAGTCTTGAACTAAATCTACATTATGAAACACACCAAGAAGTTTCAAACAAAAAAGAGGAAAGTTTTAATGAAGTTTAGGTTGTAGATCTTTAGAAAATGGCTCCATCGGTAAATGACCTTGAAAACTCAGCAGCCGAGTTAATTAACACACAGAGTTCAGCGTGTGACTGCAGGCTGCTGGCTTCACTAATTAAAACCTGGAGGGTCAGACGGGCCAATTACTCCTCTGACGGTCTTGTTGAGCCGCTCAGTTTGTCAGAGTTTATTTCTTACTTGCTCCATTCAGTAGATTTTAATACTAATTTGTATTTTTTGTTTCCTTGCAGACTTTCAAACCCAGCAGCAGGACGAGCAGGACGGGAAGTGTCTCTCAGACCGGAGAGCTGTGCTTCTTCTTCTCAGTTTCATTCCGTTCATTGACACTATAATTATACAACTTCTAGTATTTCTGTGTGAATCGGTGCCAAAATATTTCACTGTTTATATGTTGGTGCTCGGTCATTAGCAGCTCTGGAGGAAACCTTTGAGCTGCGCTAACCCGTCTGACAACCGCTAGACAAATTAAAATCATATTTATCACATCGGCTGACGATGTCGTCACCTGTGGACAGAAACGTTTATTTTTTTCAGGTTTTATTCCATAAAAATGTGCTAAACACACCAGCTAGTCTTAAGTTTTGTCTTCTCGGGATAACAAATGATTAATCTTTGACTGAATATCTAAATTTCATGATGAATAAAGGATTCTACTTCTTTTTTCTCAACATCTGTCCATCTGATCTTCTCAGGATTTGGCAGGTGCATCACTAAAGACCAGAGGAAGAGCAGTGTTGAGTTTCAAGTCATCTGGATGATCAGCGTGGTGGGAATTTTGATCTGTTTTATGAGACTTTGGCTGCTTGTTATTGAAACTGAAGCTTCATACTTTGACACACATTTTTATGACAATATCGTGCTATTTAAAGAGCATATTATTAAATTCAGTTTGCGTTGCTCATCGTGCCCACACAATAACCGACTGACTATAAACAATAGAACGGTTCGTGTTGTGAAACCATCTCATCAGAGAAACAGCCAGAATATAACTGGTTGTTTTCACATGCAGGTGAGGACGACGTTTTGTTGGCCGATCACATGAGAGGCACATGACCCGGTGAGAGCGAGCGTCTGATTGTTCAAGACGCGACCTGCTCAGGTGTGTTTGGGACAGGAAGGACCAGACCGTCTACCCAGGAATCACACACACGCCTAAAACAACAAGTTGTACCCTTTAGCCTCCACGACTTACTCATTCTCACATGATGGCGGCTCTGAGATCACAAACAAGAGAGATTAAAAAGAAAAAAAAAAAAAAAAAAGCAGGAGAAAGATGTTTGTTTTATGTCTGCATGTCAGGAAATTCAAGATGATCAGCACGACAGGAACATCACAGAACCGTTTACCTTGTGTGCATCAGTTCTGCTAAAGCCGGCCCTCCGGTGACAAATCATTTTATATTTTTGTTAACGCGATTATTTGCTGGAAGACAGACGCAGAAGCACAGATTCACACTTTCGAGGTTTCATATGTAAGAAACCTGCAGGAACTGATCCTGTAAACTTGCAGGATGTGACTTTCTGCATCATTGTTCTCTTTCAGAATCTCTTTCTGAACATGTTTTGGCTGAATTATTCCAATATTACAACCTGGCATTGTGTAATTTTACAGTGTTTGAGAAGAGTCGTAGGTGAGCTGGTGTGCTCGAGCTGCAAAGGTTTGTGCATTTTAGAGGAAACAACAGTGTCAAGTTAAATCTAAGCTATTTTACATGGAAAAAAAGGTTGAAATATACAACTTTAAACACACAGAGAAACATTTTTAGGAGTTAAATCAAAAACTAGAGAAGGACTTTAATGCTGGTAGGAAAAATAAGAATAATACTCCGTCTATTAACCATCTCCGAGCAGTAAAACACGGAATAAATGGTATATGATTAAAGAAGATTTTTAAAACTGTGATTAAAATTCTGACACAGACAGAACTGAGAGGATGATTTCCATAAATTTGGATTAAGGGTCGATAATTGACTTGCTGATTATCGTATCTGACATTTTGTTCAATAAATCATAATTAAAATAAGGCATTTCACCTCGTCTGTGTTATTCTAAATTTCGACACCAATAGTTTCATTTTTACTTCACTCATATTTCAGATCCAGGATCACTTCAGCGTCTCCTTCACACCCTGAAACTCGACCCACTTTGAATCCTGAATTTACTTAGAAAGAATTTTTTTAAATAAGTACTGTAATGATGCTTCTTCAGATCCTGATCAGCAGCATTTTTTCTTAAATAAACACAGAAAACACTGCATCTGACATCAAGCAAGATATTAATTTACACCTCAGCCATGCAGCCACGGGAGGAAAGCATCTGCTGCACAAATCCTGAACAAAAACATCTGGCCTGATATCTCTGCCTGGTTTCATGGCATCAACAAAGCTGCACTGTGTTTGCTGAAGTGGCAGCAGCTGAGAAAAATCACTTCTGTAGATGGAAACCAGACACTGAATTCCTCTTTTCTGGATTTGTAAACCTTCACTAAGCAAAACCTTGCTTGCATGAGTGTGCTATATGTGTATATATTTGCATTTGCACTGTTTAATGTGTATTTTTATATTCTGCGCTTACACTATTCTTTTTATATGAACTTGTCCACTGTGAGATAAATAAAGGCTGATCTTATCTTATGCTGCTTAAATACTGTTGAGATTTTTATAAATTAAAGGAAGCTGGTGCTCATCCTGTTGTCTGCATATCAAACTGTTCAAGAGCAAGACACCAAACCTTAAATTTGATCCCTCAATGTGTGGAAAAGAGTCATGCAAGTGGATCTGTGCAGCAAACAGACACCCAAGGAGGCTACAAGCTAGAAGTTTAAGTGAAATATTGTGGTTTAGCGTTAGCAGCAGAGCTGAGGCAGATGGGAATGTCTTTGCCTTTGCAGGTATTTGTAGATTTACGCTCTCATCTCCAGCATGTGACACTGTGAGTGTTTGTCGTGTTTCTCTGTGAGATGAGCTGGAACGCTGCCACTAAGTCACGTCGACTTCACTCTGACGCAAACGAACGCTGCCTCGACTGATTAAAGTCGCGCCGCAGGTGCCAAAAACATCACGAGCATCAGTCAACGTGTTTAAAGAGAAGCCATCGGAGTGGAGACAAATGAGGAAGGAAAAGGAAGAAGGGAAGCGTGGTGCCGTTTGTTTTTAGAGGAGAATGAAAGGTCAGATCGAGTAGCCAGCTGAGACACGTCGGACTTAAGCACCAAATATACATCCAAACTTGAAAAACATGCATTTCCTGTGCTGATATTTACTTATATTCATGCTCACTGTTCATTTTCTGACATGCACGCACTCATACGCTCCAGCATTCGCTCCATTTGCACAAGACTGAGGACCTCATGTGAACTAGAAATTACAGAAGTTAGAAAAGTTCCAGTCTCACTTGAATTTGCTGACATTATCTGCAATATGATATTCATCGGTTGCCACATAATAACTGTTGAGGCTGCAGAAAGACAGCAAAATGTTCCCTGTTGCATTCGGCCAAGTCAGCTACATGAACATCCTGAAGGTTGTTGCTCTTCAGATGACATGAGATTCTTGAATTTGGACCCAAAATGGCACCAAACTTTAATTTTTGATTGTGAATGCAGCCTCTATAATTCTCAAGCAGGAAAGAGGCAAAAGAGAGACACAGATAACAAAAAAACCTTGCAAAGGAAAAATCACCCAGATGACTAATACTGGTCTAATATTATCACAAGTATTCTGTGTTTGGCAAAATATGTTAGGTAATATTATGATGCACCAGCTTTAACATCTTTAACAAACAGTTTTATTCCTCAGAAGCCACCAGTAGCTTAAAAATCTGCAGTTTCATATGAAGTGTGAGCTCAGAGTTTGAAAGGTTACCGACGCTTTCCATCAAGTGTTTCACCTCAGAGATTGATTTTTGTGTCGTTCTATCACCTAAAAGCTTGGATTTTTTTTTTACCTCCGCAGTGACAAAAAGCTGTATGCATCATATATGTAGATTGTAAGCTGGATGTTTTTATTTAAACAGGGTTAAACAGTTCATCACTTCTTCATGAAGCGCGGAGCAGAGACGACTGTTGAAGCAAATGCAGTCATTAACTCACATAAAATCTATTTTCAATGCTGAATAAAAGCACCAAGGAAAATTAGAGCTGCACCAATCGAGCTACAGCCTACTGATACCGAGCTTATGAGGCAACCTTAAGCGACTTAAAGGCTCAAAAATAAAAAAACGTGTCAAAAACTGCAGTTCCTCAAGCGGCCACTTGAGGCTGAATCCAGCAGCGAGTCAATCCCCATAGACCTCCATGTAAAAACGCCGGAGTTCACAGCAGAAATAAACATGTTTACAGTCTGGTACGGGAACAGTTCTGGTCTCTGTAGGTAAGTTCCACATTCATGACGACTCCAGAGCGGATTCATTTCTATAAAACTCACCCGTTGAAGTTGTATTAAGGCTTAAGGTTATGTGTAGTTGAGGAATGATTGCAAAGCCTGCACCACCTTCAGTCACGCTCCACCTCTTTGCTTATTTATGGGCCAGCTGGGAGTTAGCCAGAGTTTTTCCTGTCTGTTCACCATGACATGTTGAATTCTTTTGCATCATCAGGAACTGAACGAAAACACAGAAATGTGCTGATGTGAATCCCGTTGTCTCACCGTTTTGTCAGGTAGCTGGTGAAGTTCTTCCCGAAGCCGATGACGCCCCAATATTCCCCATTATAGATCCCATCAAAAGCCTCCGTGTGGTTCAAGGGAACCTAGAGATGGAGAAAAAACAGCAGGTTCAATCCAAACATTAAGCACTTAGTCTTATTTTATGGTATTACATAATGTTGACTGTCCACATTCTGGTCTGGTGACATCAGAGCTGCTGGAGGTCGGACGCTTGGCACCAGCTCATGGTAGATAATTTAACTCATCACCGAGGAGCCACTTATCCGACTAGAACTCATTCTCCTGTTTGATAAGAAGCCCAAACATGGCAGAGTCATAAAAATCTAACTACAGCAATAAGGAATCCTGCAGCAGATGGTACAACAGCCCTGATCTCATCACGGAGCGTCCTGTGAAATAAAAACTACCAACGGCAGCTTTTTTTAAACATCCTTTTTTTAACTTTTAGCGCCAAAAGTTTTTTTTCACAGGACGTGTGTGTGTGACAGTATGTTGAAAGATTCTGTGTCACACGAATAAAACCACTTTCCACTTTCACAGTTTCTCCAAAAAATAACTCGACTGAAGCATTTCACAACAATCTGAGCTGTGAGAAAAGTCCTTACTCACAATGCAAACACACTTCTGTCCATCCATCTATCCATCCACTATCTATACACCTCTTAATCCTCACTATGGGGGGCTGGAGTCTATCCCAGCTGACTCAGGGTGAAGGCAGGTTCACCTGGACAGGTAACCAGTCTATCACAGGGCTACACTTAGAGACAGACAACCAAGCACACTCACATTCACACCTACGGACAATTTACAATCACCAATTAACCTCAGCATGTTTCTGGACTGTGGGAGGAAGCCGGAGAACCCGGAGAGAACCCACGCTGCACGGGGAGAACATGGAGACTCCACAGAAAGATCCCGGGTGTCCTCACCGGGACGCGAACTGGCGACCTTCTAGCTGTGAGGCGACAGTGCTAACCACTGAGCCACCCTGCAGCCCCACTTCTGTACAATTAAACAATAAAGTAACGGCCGTGCAAGACTGAATCTGCAGCTGAACAGTTTCTATCTATCCAGTTCCTCTTTGGCTGCAACGTACTGTGAATATAAGATAGAACCTGATGAGGGTTGAACAAATACCTGGTGCACGCTGGAGTTGTCCAGGAAGGAGAGCAGCGACTGGCTGTAGGAGGAGGAGGAGGTCTCGTTGTTCACCACGGCCACATGGATCCCCTTTGGATCTCCTCCAACGCACAAACAGATGAGAGAGATCTGGATGACGGGCAGCAGGAACTGGAAACACAACGAGCTGCGAACACACAGGAGACAGTCGGAGTTACAAACGTGGAGCTTAAAGAAAAATCACCGATTCTGCTTTTTACTGTTAGGTACTGTGAAGCACAACTTGCCCCGGCATCCTCTTCATCCGCACCAGCGTTTTAATCATCAGGGCAGCGATGTTCCTCCACTTGGGCAGCACATGTCGGGCTCGCACCTTCCAGTCGGCTGAACACAAACACAAGGTGAAATTATTTCACATTTACACCATTAATATATTGATTAGATGGGAAAACTGCATTTTGAAATAACTTTAATTGATAGTGACAATGTGAAGGAGGTGAATTATCACCTGAATCTGCAGCTCCCTTCAAATGCACATAGCTTTACTGTAATTTAAACTCATCCTTTACTATTCTGGTTCACTCTAATGGTCCTCAAAGCAGAATTTTTGGCAGCAGTTTCAGAGAAATGCTCTAAAAACGCTGCTGTACACGACCTGCTCTGCACCAAATGACAGATGGATACTGTTAGCCTTTAGCTTTAAATGCCTTGTATCAGGGGTCTCGAACTCCGGTCCTCGAGGGTCGCAATCCTGCAAGTTTTAGATGTTTCCCTCTTCCAACACACCTGATTCACATGATCAGGATCGTTATCAGGCTTCTGCAGAACTTGATGATGAGCTGATCATTTGAATCAGGTGTGTTGGAAGAAGGAAACATCTAAAACTTGCAGGATTGCGGCCCTCGAGTACTGGAGTTCGAGACCCGTGCCTTGTATTGATAAAACACCTGCAATAATGATTTCAGATGATTGTATTTGGTGTTTAAGAAAAAGATTTAATGCATAATTGTGTATAAACTAATGCATGTCAGTACCTGAACATTTAGGAATTTCTGCTGCCGGTGCGACTGCCAGTATCGGCTCGCTCTCGTCCCGCCCGCTCTCAAACGACTGGCTGTTTTCTATCGGCCCACCCTGCGGACTGGATCCTCGTTTGGAGCCGATCTGGTCCGACGTCTCGCACAGCTGCAGGAAGGCTCGCTCCAGAGTCTGCAGCAGGAGGAAAACTGGGTTAAAGATGGTGAAACTACCAGTAAACAGCTTTAACTTGTGTAAGTAAATTCAGTACAAATGACAACAATGTGCCTGTGATTACAGTCTGGACAAGTGCATCACTGCTGAGGCCATCAGTGTTTCAGAACAGCTTCCAAGTACAGTTGGTGTCACTTTAACAGCCAACGCAGCTCCCCGGGGGTTTAGACTCACCGTGGCGCTGTGCTGCTTCATGACGGCCTCTGGAGGACCTTCAGCCAGCAAACGGCCGTTACGCATGAGACCGACCTGGAAAACAGAGAAGAGACGGAAGAGTTATTCACAAGAGGTGTTTCTGTCTCTTTAAAGCAAAAGTTTAGGCGTTATTTTATACAGAGGACAGCCTCAAGAGATAAAATTAAATGATGTCACTTGCACGTAAATCCATTTTTCCCCCCGAAGAACAAAAAAATTTGCACAATATTAAGTTTAATCAACAAACTGTACGTCTAGTGAACATTTACATGAAGTTTCTGATCTCGACAACTTTTACATTTCTTCCCAAAACACATAATGCAACCACAGAAATGTTTCAAAACTATTTAGTATTTCTTGAACTACTCATTCAAGTGTGCATGAAAACAATGAGCCAAAAAATGTGAAGAAAAGTGGGCAAAAGATCTTTAATATAAATTCTAAAACATGCCTGTTTCTGCCTCTAATGGTAAAAAATGTGATTATTGATCAAAATATAAAGCTGGAAGAGTGGTTTTCATTTAAGAGAATAAATTACAGTCATTTGCAAAAGAACAGTGACATTTCTGTTTATTTCCTGTTGTTGTTCTTTACTTTATTCAACTTTGTTGAGTGAATGTTAATTACATAGTTCTGATTTATACCAAAATATATTAACTATAAGTGCATCTCTTACTGGAAATCTGAATCTCATCACTTCTTGGAGCAAATACACGTCTATTCTAAGTGATGTTTTATTACAGAAATGAGCATGTTTTACAGGCATGTAAATGTGTTTTTTAACTATTTTTGGTAACTTTGGTTCATCATAAAGACTTTCTTCGTAGAAGCGAGACACCAGCTACAAAAAACAGCAAACAGGCTTTTGAAATTGTGATTCCTTCTGTGTGTGAAAGGCAAACTTATCCCATCAGTCTCCTCAGTGGGTCAAACACAGAATAAACAAAAGCTGCACTTGCGATGTGATCAAAGTCGACCTCTTGTACCAGTCGGCCTGAGACCGATGAAGCTGCAGCATGTTGATCCAGCAAAGCTCTTTCCTCTGCGGTGGAGCGATGCGTCGCTGCTGCGTCACCTGACTCACTTCTGTCAAGGTGCAACCATCAAAAAGACGAATGCAAACCTGCCTCGCTCGCCCACAAACCCTTCATTCAGCCACGAATGGAGGTTAATTTATGTGCCTGCCTTCCTTTTCTCTCTCTGCTTTTCTTCACAGTCTGGATTTGTTTGTTGGCAGGCTGCAGTCCAGGAAATGCAAAGTTTCACATTTCTTTAACGAGATGCGGAGGGTCAACGTCCGGAGCGGCCGTTTAGTTTATCGCAACGTGATCAAGGTGATAAAAATCATGTAATCAGAGCCGATACACGCCTATCGCGTTCAGATAATCACTCTTCCAGCTGTCCACTTCTGTCTTTTTTTGTACCCAGCATCATTTTCTTATCTGTGTCATTTAAACAAACCATAAATATGCTGCACAAGCTAGACTTAGGAGGCTTTTTCTATCATGTTCTTTCAACACGCTCTGATTTTCTGACCCTATCTGTGGCACTACATTGCTAAACCTCCAGTGTAACTCATAAATATATCGTTTATTCTTTCCTCAAACCTCCAGGCACTGCAGCTTTGAGCAAGTATGTTTTTGTTGGGGACTATTTTCAGCAGCAGATTAATACACATTTGGCGCCGCGGTGCTGCAACATGCCACCCGGTGCGATGCAAAGCAGACTTTTTTGGCAGCAACATGCAAAATGAAGACACAAGAGAGCCTCTATGCAAACTCCGTCCCTCTTCCACTCACTGAATCTGAGCTTTTGTCCCTCCTGTCAAAGCTAATAAAGCCTAAAGTGCATCCAACATGCTAACGGATCAATAGACTTGTTTATCTACGAGGAGCACAAACATAGAGACTTTGTTCTATTTATTCTCTGCCTGTGTTATTGAGTGCAGTGCATTTGTGCTTAATTGGTGTGTTTCTGTACATGCATGTGTGCATCATCTCACCACGTGGGCTTGCCTGGCCTCCTCTATGTAGTGTGTGGTGATAATAACGGACACTTTTCCCGTCTTCACAATCTCCACCAGATGCTGCCAGATCCTAGAAAGAAACCAAACAAATTACATAACAGTTGACCTGCTCACTGATTGAGTTTTACAAAAAGAAAAAAAGAAATCACAGCTTACGACTTCGCCAAATAACAGTTTCGCTGCCAGCCGTCTGATCTGAAGAGGCTTTGTGATTACACAATGACACTGGAGCAACACACTGCAGGGGTGCTGCTGTACGCCTTAAACAAAGATTTCTGAACTGCTTTTCTGGAGCATATGCACCAAAGTTTGTGTTGCTTATCTGTGCAAATTCTTTCGCGGTTGTCAAATTATTAACGTGAGGAATGTGCGATGTGTACAGACGGGGATAACTCTTGTGGAAATGTGATTTGGCAGCACTGTTAATCCGTTGCTGTAAGTCAAGCAGGCGTACGTCTTTATTAAAGAGCCCATGTTGTGCACATTTACACCATCGTTTTTTTTAAAATCTAAAGTTCTTTTTAAAGTGCTTTAAAGTTCAAAAAACAGATTATTTTTCTCATATCGTACATGACGGCTGCACTTCTGTCTGAAACGTTTCGATTTAGCGCCTGTCTCTTTAAGGCCCAGTCTGCTCTGATTGGTCAGCTGAGCCTCATAAAAGAAAGGTAATGTTGGAGATGCATCATCCCAGATCTACCAGTATAGGAATGTAACTGTAGCAGAAGAGCAATAAAATAACGGTGAACTGCAAGGAAACTGCTCATTCTTTGAGCCAGACTAGCTGCTAGACAGGTCTTATGCAAATATTTAACTCAGTGATGTAGATAAGTAACGGGAGAAAAGCCTGGACGTCAAACAAGGTGTTCTGACTGTTCAGGAGCAGATTTTGTGCAAATTTTTCAAGTTTGCACACCTTTTACAGGCCCAAAAAAGCAGCTATGTAACACACTAAAGGAAAGACAAAGAACATAAAAATCAGAATACTGGCTCTTTAATATGACGTTAGCATAAATGTGGGCTCTTTAAAGTAAAGGCTGCTCCTTAAACAGGTAACGAATGACAACATAGTAAAACACACAGCTGAAGTTATAATTATTAGCAAATGCTGCACATAAAAAACAGCCATTATAGCTGCTTACGACTACATTATAGCAATTATAAAGCTTTTATTAAATGTTGATGTACTGCTAATAAAGTAAGCAACACATGCATGTGTAATAAATGGCCGCCATTGTTCGAAAACCGTCAATTACATGTATGCAAATAATCAAATCTGTCATGCCAAAGGGTATGAAATTAGTATAAAATGTGGATGCTGCTATAATTTAATCATCTGAAGGGAAATTTGTGTGAATATTCTGATTCTAAACGTACGGTATCAGTATAACTAGTGTTGGAGAAGGTTAAAGGGTGAATATCTTCTTTAAAAATGCACCTGGACAGCAGTTACAGCCGACTGAGTTTAACAAAAGTAATCTTGATTATCATAGTCAGCATACCCATGTTATATACATATTGTGATAAAAAGATCAAATCTGGGGTTGCTGTACTTTCAATGTCTTTGCTGTTGGAAGATAAATTAGAAGAGCTCGTCTTATTCAACCAATCGTTGCTAAATAAAATCAAGAAGATGTCTTGGTGAAATATTACTGTGTCCAAATCCTGCACAAGTCCTGTGTCATACTTTTCTTACAACTAAAAACAAGACATTTGTAGGTGAAATGTTGAATCAATTATACTATAAAGACCAAAAAAGACAGAAGCTTAGAATAAATGAATTTTGCTATTGTTTTGTCTGTTTAGTCATTAAAAATAAAACCAGCAGATGTGATGCTCCACATCTTTACCACAGCTGTAATGTTAGTTCTCACTTGTAGATTCTCTCAAATGTACCTACAGCGGTGCTTCAGAAGATAATAAAAATAATAATGTGCTTTATTTATGGCAGAATGAACGCCCTGTTTCTTTATGACACAAAGAGCCTAAAGCTGTGGGATAAAAACTATGCTGGAATTCACGTAGGACATGTTTCCTTTAAATGAAGGGGACAATATTATGCGTTACTCACCTGTGGGGCATCAAGCTCTTTTAAAACATCCTGACACACCTTGTTACCTCTGCTAGGGAGGAGGACTGGATGCCTACTGAGGCTGATAAATATTGTATATTTATAGGAAATCGTGTGCAATTTTTGATGCAAAGCATGAAAAAGGGGCAAATTCTGTTTGCCACCAAGTTTGGTATGATTTAACAAGGATATAGATTTTTATTTAAGTTTGTCTGGTTCACCCAAACATTCCCGTATACGCACGTCACCCTCCCATTAGTTTAATATGTTATTTATTGGAGTATGAGTGAAACGACGGGGACATAAAATCACATACTTTGCCCTGAGAACGGGGTCGACTCCGACCGTGGGCTCGTCCAGGATGAGCAGCTCTGGGTTCTGCAGCAGAGCGGCTCCCAGAGAAACCCTCCGCCGCTGACCTCCGCTGCAACAAACACAGAAAACCAGCGAAGGAAATGTTAAAAAGCGGCCAAAGGGCAACAGAGCGAATCCTCTCCCACGTTCCTCGTGGTTTCGTAATCCACCTCGCATGCCGCTCACTCCAGAAACCTGCAAGACAAACCTGCCTGACAACACGGAGACAAACAGCAACACCTGAGGCAGCGACGCAGCATTTCAGCCGATTCACACGATTTTATTGATATCATCTGAGCACAAAATCCACTTTTAATGCATCCCCAGTGAGCAGATTGATCCGAGACTGTAGTAAAGAGAGAGAGAACCAAACAGAAGAACATGAAGCAGATTACAAACACACGTGGCATGTTTATTCATACCAGGAATGTCTTGCAGATTATGTGCAGTGGCTTGTTTAAGGCTGCAGCAGAACAAGAGAGGAGAGGATGAAACTCAAGGGCTCATCTTTGCAGCGGTTTCCAGAAGTCGCAGCTCGGTAACATGACGGTCTGCTACGCCGCGAATGACATAAATACTACATGAGCTGCTAATGAACGCTGCTTTGAAGGGCCTCTCGGGGAACAGAAAGGGCTTTGTAACGAACCAGGGATGTGAATCCAGAGCTGCAACAAGAGATGGTGATTACTCCTCCTCCGATAGCTGAGGAATATGAAAGGGCCATAAAGTAGTCTGCCGCTTTCGCCGATCTGCCGGAGCCTCAGAGACTCGAAAAAACATCTCTAGTGGTCGATATAATGAGGAAAGGCAAAGTTTTTTTAAACATAACTTGGTTGTTTCCTTTCAAAACTTTCTGGTTTCATCTCATCTCAGACTGGAAGTCAACGACGGACTGAACAACCAGGCTCTGCAGACAGTCACGAGTTCACTGGAACTAAAGAACCTGAGCTGCCAGTCGGGTGGCAGGTTAAAGCTCAGATTTTTGATTTGGACAGTGATGCAAACAGGGATGTAGAGTGACAGGCTCTGACGAAACAGAAACTCCCGCTTGCTTACATTAAAATTCCTTGTTGCACACGTTAATGTCTTGTGTGCATAAGATGAAAAAAAATAGCCTCGAGGGGTTTACAGATGAAAGAAAGACTCGTTTTTTACAGTCTATGACCTGCAGGGTGTTTACCAATATACAAGTAAAGATACGAGATGTTCCCTTGAATGAAACGGTGAGGGACTTTGTGGATATTTGTCTGGACAGCAACACAAAAACACGTAAACTACAGTTTCCACAATGGCCGTTTTGAGGATAAAATATATGTTTGCTAGCGAAATAAAAAGTTAAACTGTAAAGTGACTAACAGCTACAAAAACCTGGTGGATATTCTTTTTAGTTGCTGTAACTGTGGCTTCATATTTGCATAATTCAAAGGAGGTTTATGTTATCTTGCACTCCTAAATGGAAACTTTTAACAACAAGGTACATAGGTAGGAGTATTCTGCAAATAGCACTGCTGCAATAAAGCCATCTGTATTTGACTTTCGTCCGTTTGCTTATCAAAAAGTCACGTTGTTTTATAAGCATGGATTTACAAGCTGTAGCCGATAGAGAGATGATGTTTGTCTGAGCATAAGTGCAGATGATACAAGGGTCAAGGTCTGCTGACTTTTATGGACAGCTGTAAATACACCATTATCTCGCTTCAAAAACCAGCTTTATCAAGGACATGATGCGTTTGGCCAAACTGACTCTATGAATCACGCAGCACTCAGTCGTGCTTCCAGTATCACGCACTCTGTCTGTGGAAGATCAGTTCTGAATCGCTGCATTTTAAACTCCTGTCTAATATCTGTTTACCTGAGATTTCGGACCAGGCTGTGCTTCTGAGGTAGATCCAGGAAGTCGATGAGGAAGTCCATGCGGGCCTGGGTCTCCTTCGACGTCAGGCCGTGGACTCGGCCGAAGAAGGTCAGAGTGTCGCTGATGGTGAACTCGTTGTAAAGCGCCAGTTCCTGTCAAACACAGAAGAGCTTCAAAAAGTTGTATTTGATGCTCTAATGTTCCTGCAGCTGTTACACACAAGGACCCTGAACTCAAAGAACATCATGGACCTGATATTAAGAAAAAGATACTTCTACTTTTAGTAAGTGAAGGGTCGAACAATTATGATGAGAAGCATCAAATGGTTTGGCCACTTATACATCTGTGGCTTCTAGAAACATTCAACATCAATGTCTTCCAAATGGCTGCAAGAAAAACACTTTTGGATATCTGACATTGAGAAATATGAACATGCACTCGTATTTTCATCCACGAAAAGAAGGCAAACTCTCAGTAAACTTGATAAAACAAAAACAAATAAAAACCATCTCATGGACCAAGTTGGCATCCAGGACACTGTTCTCAAGTGATTTGCCTCCTACTAGCAGACAAGTCCTTTTTTGTTCAGATTAGGAACTGATCTTTCTCTAATCCCTTCCCCCAATCAATTGTGGTGTACCTCAGGGCTCCATCTTAGGCCCCATTTTAATTTCTGTGTATATTCTCCCTTTAGGCTCCATCTTCCACAAACATAACGCTTCCTTCCACAGTTGTGCTGATCAAATATTGTCTGTGAATCTTCTCCAGGATGGTAAAAAAACATGCTCCAGTTAACTGATGGTGTTTTGCTTCCCTCCCAACACCACAACAAACAAAAGCAGCCACTTAAAGCCACCGACTGACCGCAACCCTTCAAGCCGACGCCAGGAATCTTGGTGTCATCTTTGACTCGGCGCTGAAATTTGACTCAGATTAACTCTGTGGTGCAACTTTCACCCGAGGAGTATTGCCAAATTGAAATCGATTCGCTGTCTAAACGGCATCTGTTCTTCCGTATTGTTCAGGCTTTTCCGTCTCGTCTGCAGCTGCTGCAAGACGCCTGACTTGTACCAAAAACATCACGCCTGGATGAACATCCCTGTTAAATACAGCACTGATTTTAAGTTTTTTTTTATTTGTTCATAAAGCCTATTTAATTAACTTAATAAACACTTCATTTTGGTTGTAATGCATCAAATAGCGCTGCTCAATTGTAAAAGCAACATTTTCCAGCTCAGCTCAGGATACATACTAGTTTAAAAAAAAGAGGTAAATTCAGTAGATTTGTTCAGTAAGTTTCTGTTTCCTTTGCTCCATTCAGCAGATTTGCTTTCTGAGCACTCAGACCTTTGACTTTGCATTTTCTTCCATCACTGGAAGGATTGAAGTCTGGAATTCTTGAGAAAATATTTAGTTTTGGAGGATTAAAGGCTTAAATAATAGCACATGCACATTTTTGTCTGTACCAGCAAATGAATAGGATATAGTATGTATCGCCACAGTAGCTGCTTTGTTTGACGACGGATTTCTCTGCACGGCCACAGCGACGCGATAACGGCAGCGGGACACATCCGAGGTGTCACATTGCTTCCTCTCCGGGTCACAGATCACTTCCTGCGGGGATGAATGTGATGCTCAGGGTCACACAGGAGGAAGCATGCCATGTGTGCGATCGGCCTCATCAGATATCCAACCTGACAGCGGCGGGGCACGCTCAGGTACAGTTCGCTCAGGTACAGTTCGCTCACTGTGACACAAACTAAATTACAGAAACCGTAGAGGAAGGCGCTTGGCATGTCTGTGGCTGTAAACAGCAGCACACCGACAAGATCACTGGAGTGAGAATTTGTAGAGAATAGCTGCAAGAAGTCGGTAAAAATAAGATGAATATGAAACTATTCAAGTTCTCTGCATCAGCCTGAAGAGAATGTAAGATGAGTTTAGTGACTAAAATAGAGAATTAAGTCTTTTTGCAGGAAAAACTTCCCTTTATGTCACATTAAAAGCCTTTTCCAAACATGTTAAGGATCTTTTTGCACCAAAGCAAACACCTTTTAATGTGAATTTAACGTGGTTTACCTGCGGCATGTATCCCACCATCCTCCCCGGGACGTTGTGACCGGGAAACGCAGGCGGCTTCCCCAACACAGTGATGTGACCCCGCGAGATCTTCAGGGTTCCCACGATGCATTTCAGGAGCGTGGTTTTCCCACATCCGCTGGGCCCCAAGAGGCCATAGCTGCAAAAGCACAAGAGGGATTCAGGTAAAACTCAACAACTGGTTTCATGTGACATTAAAAGCATCAAGCTTGTGGTGACGTTACAAGTTTCCTGGTTCAAATGCGGCATCACAGCTCTGACCTGCTTTATCAGTTAGTGAGCGAAAGGAACCAAGACGGTGGAGAAAGTGTAGCGTCTACACACAGAGTCAAGCATATGAGGGAGGTTTAAGATCATCAGATGAGATACGGTGAAACCCAACAATGACTGCAGCCACTGTGACAGACGTACCTTTAAATACGCAGCACAACTGTGTAAATCACTGTCAAGACAAACAAAGCAAGTCGACGCAAGGACGCGATGTGCTACACTCAAGAAAATCTGCTTTACCAGAAGCATCATGAACGGAACATTTAGCAGCTGAAGTTTGTCCATCCATCCATCATCTATACACCGTTTAATCCTCACTAGGGTCATGGGGGGCTGGAGTCTATCCCAGCTGACTCAGGGTGAAGGCAGGTTCACCTGGACAGGTAACCAGTCTATCACAGGGCTACACTTAGAGACAGACAACCAAGCACACTCACATTCACACCTACGGACAATTTACAATCACCAATTAACCTCAGCATGTTTCTGGACTGTGGGAGGAAGCCGGAGAACCCGGAGAGAACCCACGCTGCACGGGGAGAACATGGAGACTCCACGCAGGAAGATCTCGGGTGTCCTCACCGGGACGCAAACCAGCGACCTCCTTGCTGCGAGGCCACGATGCTAACCACTGAGCCACCTTGCAGCCCAGCTGAAGTTTGTGTGGACCACAAATCCTTGCCGACTAGTTTGATATGCGAATGTGTCACCGTTTGTTTACAGCCTGCTTCTGAGTCTTAGTAGCTAAACAAACAACTACAAGTTTAACTGTGCAGCTACAGCCAGGAGGCCACTAGCATAGCTTAGCATAGCTTAGCATAGCTTAGCATAAAGACTGGAAGGAGGGGAAACATATCAATTATGACAGAAATCCACCTATCAGCACCTCTAAAGCTCATTACTCGTTTAATATGTGGGGCTACAACAATACATCATCCTGCATAACTATGATGTAAATAAGACACATGCTTGATAATGAGCTTAAAACACTCGCCATTAGGGGTCATTTTTTTTACTGCTGAGGGAGTCAAACCAGCTTTTTCCCCACTCGTGTCCAGTCTTTAAACCAAGCTGACTGGTTCCAGCTCTGCATCTACTTAAAGGTGGAGTCTGCCGTACTGGACGAACAGCAGCCTAATCCCACAAACCTACAAACTAAACCCTTGCAGACTTAATAAAGGCCACTGATGTAGAGCCGAGTGTAAGAGTTCCCGAGGGTTTGAAATGGTTTTATAGAAAAAGACAAATGGGACATAAAAATAAAAAATAAAGTGAATTTGGACTCATTCACAGTTTCATTAGCCACAAACACATGCAAACTATGTTTTACTGGAAGAGCTCCACAAAACATGTAATAAACAGACACAACAGTGAGCAGCCAGGTGATGCCACTGACTTGCTGCTTGATTTGTGTTTATTTTGTGGGACCAGGTTCATACGTCTATACAGAAGAGTCCCTGATCAAAGTCTGCAGATATGTGGACGGCCACGAAATCACATCGAAAAGCCATCAGAGCCCTCGTGAACTCTGTGGTTTGACAGTGGGATTGATCCATTGTTGATGTTTTGTTGCGTTTGCCAACTAGTTGACTGGATCTAGTAACAGAAGATGTCTTCGATAAACGTCTAACTACCCCTGACGGTGGTGATAAGTTATATTTAAAACCCAGCAGACGCACTAACGTCGCCGTTCCTCATGTTGTGTGATGACTGTTTCCCGACACAATTTAAAAAGAAACTCGTCCTCTTTGGTCATGTGAGAAACCGGGTTTAGTTTTAATTATTTTGGAGGTTAGAAATTTCCTCCACATCAGGATATACTTTAGTTACATCATGTCCACTTGATGCAAAACAACTAAACATACACTGCAAGCAGCTTATTCTTCTCTCTTCATTATTCTCTTAATGGCACGCCTTCTCTTGAAATCGCATGCATTCGTTTCGTCTGCACGCTTTCTTGTCGTGACACTATATCAGCTTTGTCATTTAGCACATTTACAACCTGCTAGAAACCTTGTCAGCTTTGACAGCCTTTTCACATTTGTCATTTTCCCACAGTTTCTGTGCACAAGAATGAACTGTAACACGAGCGAGCGCATTTCTGTCTCTAGGTTTGTGCTTTTACCCCCCAAATCTTCTCATTTCTTTGTCCTTCCAAGAATGCAGGTATGTGTGAGGAAAAGTGACACAAATCTTGTATAATGAAGCTCACGTGCAGATAAATGACAGATGGATCGCAGCCAAAAACAAACGGCATATACATCTATTTATTCTAGGAACTGGGAGTTGACAGCCGTTGAGATGCACTAAACTCAAAATTTCAGCTTTAAGGAGACAAACAAAGTGGATTCATTGCAGGTAAACCTGACTGTCCTACAGGAAGTTACAGCTGATCAGTGGGCAGATACATGAGAAAGGAGAAGGCGAGTCGACTGGCTCCGGGCAGGTCCAAGAATGTGAGCATCATTTGCATGTTTAAAGCTTGTTGGCCGACTGGGAAAACAAGCACGAGTCCAGTTGTTGTGCCTGTTGGTGCTAAAGAGCCTCACACACTTTATAGTTTGATCTTTCTTTCTGATCTCTCGTTATCTGATCCTTTTTTTTCCAGATCTCCACTGTAATTAAAGAAAGAAAAAATTATACATCAGCAGTCTGAAATCCCAGCCAGCTTTGAAGCACTCACATGTGTCCCTGCGGCACCGCCAGGTTCAGGTTGCTGAGGACCTTCAGCTTGCCGTACGACCGGCACACGTCCCGGCACTGGATGGCGTAATCCTCCTGTCCAGCAGGCAGAGGCGCCTCCAGATCAGCCTTCATGCTCGCCTCCTTCATCTGGAAGACAGAAAACACTTCATGAAACACCGATAACTGTCCTGGTGGCCGTCTTTCTGCACGCTGACGGTGTTCTCCTCAAAGCTCCACAGTGTTTAGGTGCTCCAGTATGCACACCTCTCTAGTAGGTGTCTGGATGTTTAAGATCAAGTCAATGGAAGCAAAGGAAAGCTCATTAGAAGCGAGGTTTAAAATGCCAATTATTTAATTTAAATGCTTTCTGTAACACTTTCTGCATCTTCTCCACTACATTCTGGAGGCAGATATTTGACTTTATACTCGACTAAATTCATTTTAAAGTTTAAATTGCAGGTTAATTAGCAGATTTAGATTATCCAAATATAAATTATATGATAACATGATGGATTAAGCCTCCTAGTTATATACAAACTAATCAAACTTGGCTGCATCGTTAAAGTTCCTGAATCTGTAATTATAATCCAATACTACAATATACATGATTCTGAAATGGGCCATTCTGTGTCATGAGCATGTTTTGGTACTTTGATGGCAATACTTGATACTTCTACTCGAGTAAAGAACCCAAACACGTCCTCCACGACTGGTTTTGATGTTACGTAAAGCGTTTGTTCTTTAATGACGTTAACGTGATGATTCACGTCGAACACAAAAGCGGCCACGGCGTGGTTTTATTGTGCTGAACAAAGACCTTCAACCACATTTTTATAAATTTGTTTCTGCCACTAAGACAGTTGAGTTTTAATGAAGCCAATAACGGAAACATAAAAACATCGTCTTCCTCTTTCGCTCTCACTTCCTTTCGCCAATCAGGGCCACAGATATTACTGTCGCCTGGAGCTTTTGTAAAAGCATGCTCTCCAAACATGCACTTAACCGGCACCAGGCGTGTTTGTTTGGGTTGCTTAAGTGGCTTCATTTGAACAGAGTCATTAGTGAAATATTCATGATGAGATTGTTATCTAGTTTTCCTGTTTGCTTTCTTTCTGCCCCTCAAGCCGACCACAATAAATACACTTCCGCAATCTTTTCCTTTTATTTAAAAATCCAGAGTCTTAATCAGAATCTGTGATGTTTAGTTAGGTGTGTTTGCAAAGGTGAGGGATTTGGGAGGAGGGGATCTCCATTCCTTGCATATCAGACTAAAACACACAGATCAGCATCGGTCAAGAACGCACCTTTTGTTGCAATAATATGTTGTGAACCTCCACAAAAGCTGACTTGCAATGGATTTAACAATTCCAGACTCACTGAGGTCAACATGTTCTTATCACACCTGGATCCTTTTGTTTTTTCCACCCCCCTCCCAAAAAAAAAAAGCACATTTCAGGCATTCCTTGTTTCTGCTTTACAGAAGAAACTGGGGTGTTTTGTGCATCTTTGCCAGCCCTGCAGACAGTAGCTTACATTTAGCACCTGTAAGGTGTTTTCAAGCAGCGTCTGTAACTGCTGACTTGGACAAGGTTCAGCAATAACATCTGACTCCTGACGAGGACTGCAATTCATTAATGCATCTTTTATTTTATCAATTAATCCAACAGCTGCTTTGTCTACAAAATGTCAAAAAAAAGGTGAAAATGTAGATCCTTGTTTTGTCCACCACCCCAATATATTCAGTTTACTGTCACAGAGGAGTAAAGAAACCAGAAAATATTCACATTTAAGAAGCTTGAATCAGAAAATTCTCCTTTTTTTTTTCTTAAAAAAGTGCTCAAACTGAGAAATCCATCATCAAAACAGTGACTAACTGAATGGATCCGTCGCTGCAGCTCTCCTCCTCACTGAGTTTTCTTCAAAAGGGCTTCGCTGCAAACAGCTGAATAAAAATGCAAACCATTCTTAGTAAGCCTGTCACCAAACCACCGAAAGAGGAAACCAGGGCAGTCCCTTGTTTTGTTTTTTTTCCTCTTTCTCTCTCACCAAGAATGCAAGCAGGAGGAGAAAGTAGTTTACCCTTTAACCCAAAACTCCCAGAAGAATCTAAGGGAGACAAAACGCCAACAGCTCTCTCACGCTCTGATGTTCCTGGTGGTGTTCTTTGAATCCCGGCCGAGCTTCTGCAGACGAAGTATGTGGGTCGTACAACAACCCCGGTAATCTCTAATAACGGCCTTCTTTCACGGGTTTCCAACTAACTCCCTCCTTTAATCCAGAATCTCTCATTTTTTCCAAGCGAGGAGATTAGGGAGATTGCGTAATCTGGTTGGCCTCACCTTTGGCACTGTAGCCTACATCTGCAGACATCTCGCCCTCATCCTGCACCAACTACAGCAGGAATACCTCCGATATCAACCCACCTCGTATCCAATCAGCAACATCTGAGATAACGCTGGAAAACCAAGATAAGAGGACACCCTGACATGAATCACACTGATGGCAGATAAGGCAGCAGGAACTCACCCGGAGATGAAGAAGAAGAAGAAGAAGAAGAAGAAGTAGACAAAAGGCAGAAGTGGAAAGGATGATGAGCACCTGGTGAGTGAGTCCAGACTGAAGAGAACTGAAGAGAGCATGTGAACATCAGCTGACACCAACATCTCAGCTGCACTAATGCAAAGTGGAAGAACAGGTTCCGTTTAGGAGGTGTCAGGCGGAGGAGGCATGTTTTCCTCAGAAAAACAACACAGCCATCACATGCACATCCCCCTCAAATATAAAGCTTTGGGGTTTTTTTGGAGAAATTTTGTACAAAAACGCTTGATTTGCTCCATTTAAGTCTCCAAATCAACCCTCGGGGAGACATTACTCACTTGTAGCTCTGGCAACTTGAGATTCTGACTTGATTATTTCATCCAAAACACAGATTTTTATTTTTTTTTTGTTCCAGTCCCTCTTTTCCATCCATGTGACTGGATGGAGAGAAACCACCACACTGTGCCTCTGCAGGTTCTTCTGGGTGGACACTCTCCTCTGCCTGCGTTCCCTACAAAGCCTCTCTCCTCATTCATCCCCTGCTCTGTTGACCAGGAAGAATTCCTACCTTGGCTGCCAAGTTGTTGCCAACTTGCGTCACCGCCATGTGAAGAGAAAACGGGATCGCAGCAGAGCTCTGGATTCAGCAGCGAATCGAGGCGCATTCACCGAACGTGAACTGTTCAAGAGTGGCCGATGTTCGGGGTTATTTATAAGCCGAGCCTCTGCAGGCTGCCTGCACCGGCCGACCAGCTGCCGCACTTTCACTTCTCTCTTTCAAATCAGCGCGTCACACGGGATGAGAGCGCCTCCGCCGCCGCCGCAGCAGCAGCAGCAGCAGCAGCAGCGGCGGCGGTGCGCAGCGCGGCGCTCCCAACCGCCTCCTTCCGGGCGATAGCGCACATCCTCCCTCCCTGTAAAGCTAACCATCTATCCCTACATTTCTACCATTGCGCCATTAAAAACAAAACAGAAATGAGAGCACAGTGAGCCTGCAGCAGCAGCAGCGGCTTGCATCCTCTACACTTGCTCTCCATCTCGTGCAGCAGCGCGTCAAGGCCTGCTGTCCGGCATCGATCCTTCTCCCGCAAAGATCGCGTCCCTAAAACTGCCCAAAAAGCGTCTTACCCGCTCGTCCATCTCGGTGCAGTCTGCAGGTGCGCTCGTCCCATCAGTCCGGCCCGGTGCAGCCTCCGCGGCCATGGCGGCAGGGAGGAGGGCGGACCGCAGCCTCTGCAGGGGGAGAGAGAGCGACAGAGAGGGGAGAGGGAGCGGGAGAGGGACGGATGCGCTGTGGGACTTCTCGTAATGAACTCGGTCAATCTGTTGGCTCTGATTTTCAAACAGAGCAGCAACCGGCTGAGAAAACGCAGCATGTTAGTGTTTTGTGGCCTATAAATGATTGCCAACTCTGGATCAGTGAATGCATCTGCTGCAGGTCACATGGAACTAATCTGCTGCTGCAAATATATCCATTGTGCAGTTTGAAGCTCTTTAATTGATGTAGTTTATTCACCAGATGCTGATATAATTCCACATGGTGTCTGATTTCTTTTTGCTGCATTCCTGTGTGAGAACAAGGCCAGCCACTTTAACTCACTGTACATTTTTTATAAGATGATCTGCTGGACGTGTTTTACAGTGTAACCAACACCCTGCGGTCATCTCATCTCCCAAACGGCCTTCAGTATTGTGGATTGTGTTTCCAGGGGTCTTGCTCTGTTACCTTTCTAATCCGCTGATGGAGACGCAGGTTCATTATGAAAGCAACACCTCATCCTCCTTCCTTCTCACGCATGTTCTGTCTTTCTTCTCTCAGTAAAGACTCTGCAAAGAAGATTTAAGAACAAATGTGGGGAAATTATTTTCAGTATATTGTTGCAATATTTGTGCAGTTCCCAAAGAAACCAGAAGATGGCAGCAAAAACCAAGATACTCAGATGAAAGAAAGATAAAAATGGAAATTAATCAGTGATAAGTAATGCTAAAAAGGAGGAAACAACTAGTATACAGTGCCTATAAATAGTATTAACCCTCCTTGGAAGCTTTTCCTATTTGTTGTTTTTTTAACATTGATTTTTTATGAATATAATTTGGATTTTTTTTGACAAGAATTTGTACAAATAAAAAAGTCTTTAATGCTAAAGTGAAGGCAGATTTTTTTCCCCCTACAAATTAATGTCAATTACCAGAAATGTCAAACATAAAATAAGTGACCTAAGTATTCACCTTCAAGTCAGTATCAAGGAGATGCACCTGCTGCAATTCCAACATTGAGTCTGTGTAGATGGTTTCAATCAGCTTCACACATCTGGACACTAAAATTTTACTCCATTTTTTTTTGCAAAATTTTTAGGTTGCACAAAGCTCATGAGTAAACTGCTGTTCACATGGAACCCTTCTCCACTTCGGCCTTCAAGGGTCTCGCTTGAATATTTGCTACTACCACCAAGATCTGCACAAACTCTAAGTTGGACTGAGGTCTGGGCTCTATCTCAGCCACTCCAGAACATTCACTTTCTTGCCACTGAACCATTTCTGTGTAGCTTTAGGCCACTGACTTGCTGGAAAACAAACCCTATCAAGTCCAAGTCCTCCTGCAGACTGCATCAGGCTGTCCTCCAGGATTTCTCTGTACTTTGCTGCATTAATTTCACCTTTACAAGCCTTCCAGGCATTGCTGCTGAGGAGCATCCCTACGTCATGATGCTGCCACCACCGTGCTTCACAGTGGATGGTGTGTGTGATGATGTTTGCTGTCCAAACACAGCATCAAGTCTGATGAACAAAAAGCTCAACTTTGGTCTCATCAGACCAAAGGACCTGCAGAGTCTCCCACATGCCTTCTGGTGAACTCTAGTCCAGATTTAATGAACTTTTTCCAACAGCGACTGTCCCCCACTCTCTCATAAAGCTTCGGTGAAGACTGATGAAGCTTTTTAGCTCCTTCAGAGGAGTCAGAGGTGTCTTGGTGGCCTCCCTTCACTAGTCTCCTTCTTGTACGGTGTGGAGTCGTCTGGCCAAAAGGTCAAGGAAGGTGGTAGGCCAGCAGACTTTCTGTGTACAAATAGAGGCAAAGATTTTATTTTACAGTTCTTCTCTACTCATGTGAGAATTAAAAAACACACACACACAAAAAATACAAGGGAAAACTTTAAAATTATCCATAGCTACTCAAAAAAGTGGTTCATTTTGGCAGCAAAGCCTCACCCCTCTCAAGAGAACAAACGCTCTACCCTTTATATAGGGTTCCCAATTCACACCTTAATCACTTCAGCCCTACCATCATGCAACACGGTGTTCTATTCTGTAACCGTGATGCAAACAAAACTGCAAACAACATCACTGCACACACTGCAGACTTGTTGGCATGTCTGAATGTCTCCTTTAGAGCAAAGCGTACTGAAAGATGCCTTTTAATACAAAATACACATCCGTCTAAAACCGAAGAACCCTCCACTTGGTCTGGCCCAGTGATGTCACTCTGACATCATAAATCCAGGAAGTGGTGGGCGGCCCCCTCCCAAACACTAGTCCTGCATGGTGAGCCAAAGAACAAACAGTTAAACCACATCTGACCTGTAACCTAACACAAGATAACTAGTTTACTAACTTACACTAGCACGGTTAAATTAAGGAAAAACAGCATTGGTAGTAACTCTAGGAGGATTCACACATGTGCCATATCCCGTCCATGTCTTAATGGATTTAGCTGTTCAGTTACTTGGAAGTTTTCTTGTATCCGTCCCCTGAGTTGTTTGTCAGCAGAAGATCCAAGTGCAGACCCAACCATGGCAGGTAGGACGTGGAAATAAACAGACAAGCTCTAACAAACAAACTTACTGGTGCGGTACAAGTGAAAAGGCGGCTGGTGATCCAGGTAGACATACAGCCAAAAGCAAGGAAGGTAATCCAAAGAAAACTGGATCCACAAATCCACAGAAATCACAAGAGCAATGAGAAGACTCTGGCTGGAGAACATGATGGTAGCACATATGAGGTTCTGACTGAAACAAGGGAAGACACAGAACTACATAGACACAGAGAAGTGACTGAGACAAGACACAGGTGAAACTAATCAGGAGGGAAAAGAAGGACGTAAAACCACAGACGACCCACAAGGAGAGGGAATGTCAAAATAAAACAGGAAATGAACAAAACAAACCCCGAGACTGTGACACGGTCAAGCTCAAATTAAGAATTATGGAATTCTCCATTTTCTGTGGTGGAATGATTAAAGCACATGCATCTTTGTCACAGAAACAATCACACACTGTGGCTCTGTCATACATTTATTTTAGGTCCTCTGGAAATATGACAAATTTTTTAAACTTGAAATATCAGATTTGGAGACGTAGAAAGCTGCGTCAGTCAAGTTTTCTTCGTGACCTCTTAACTTCTTGTGAGTGATTACAATTGATTACAGCTCAGTGATTTCTCTCTTAGGAAGGATCCATTTGATACACTCATTAACTTCAGCTACATACACTTAGAATGGGAAGTCTGAGGAGCTCAGTGACTTGAATTTTCCCAGGTCATTCTCTCAGATTCCTCTGGGGAAAAAAAACAAATAAAAAAAACATCTCAGTTGCTCCTATGCCACAACTATGGAGAAAAGCTTTTGGCAAACTAGCCAAAAAACTCATACCATTTTTGCGGCAACTTAGCATGTAGCTAACGATCACATAAACAATGCCTAAGAAAGGTAAACCAAAACCCCAGGTTGGTCCACATATCCGCCCCGGCCTGCTCCCATCTCTGCAAAACGAATTGGATGCATCCAGAGCTCAAAGCCAGCAGCTGATGGAGCACAACATGCAGCTGGAAGAGCACAGTGCAGGACAACAATAGAGTGAGTGAGGAACTGAACCAGAGCTCTACTCTTGTTGTCCTCAACCAAGAACTGGTGGAAACACAGAGACTGTGCTGAGCGACTGTGGAGAGATCCTGGAGGCTGAGAGGCAGCGATTTGCCGAAACCATGAAGGCGATGGATGACGAGCTGAATCAGCTGGAGGAGGAGATCAGCAGGAGGGAACAGGAGATCCTCAGTCTGACTCTTGAAGTAGAGAAGGAGACACTGCAGGAGGAAACGAGTGAGTCAGAGGAAGACCTGCAGATGGAGACCGGTGAAGCTGTCTCTGAGAGGGTTCTGGACCAGGACAAGGAAGTGCCAGAAGAGACCAATGACCAAGCAGAAAACCAAACCGACTTGGTCTTGGAGCAGGAAAGCAACAACCTGCAGGAGGAAGAAATAACTGTGGAGGGGGAGGAAGAAGAGCTCCAAGAGAAGAAGAAAAAGAAGAGGAGCTTCTTCAGTTGTTTCAGAGGAAACAAACAAAAGAAAGAAAAGACAGAGAAGAAAAAGCTGGAGAAGAAACCAGAAGAACAGGAGACAGGGAAAGAAAAGACGAAGAGAAAGGGTTGCTGGAGCTGCTTGTTCTGTAGAAGAGCGACCATGACGTACATTCCCATCCCCCTCATTCTTTGGAAGTGTTTTCCACAGTTGCAGCCTGCATTTACCCCGATTGTTTCCATGTTTATTCCTCAGACGTTTGCAGTCTATAATTTATCTATGAAAAATAATTATGACAGATGTATCATAGAATAATGCAAACACACCCACAGGTTACAGCGTAATAATTAGCATGACACATTGGAGTTGGGAGGACAAATCATTTTCCAGGATAACTTAACCTTTTCCAGGACATTTGACCTTATTTCTCATTTTCCATTAAGATTTAGAATTAAGATTTTAGACCGGCCTTCCTAAAGTCCTGACTTAAACTCCATCAAGACCCTGTGGACTGTGATGAAAAAACGAGTCTGCGTCAGACCAACCCTGTCAACAGGAGGGTCAAAGACAAATCCAGAAGCTTGTGGACGGAAATCAACAGAACCTAGTTGAGGTGAAAATGGCTTAACCAGATATTAGTATGAATGTATGTATATGTTTGATCCCGCAGACTTTGTCATATTTGCAGAAGATCTGTACTGAAAGAACTAAAATGTCTGATTGTTTTTTTGTGATGGGTTTAAATTATTCTTTCATTGAAAATTGTAGAGTTCTAGGAGTCATTGGAAACTCAAGACTGTCTTTACAGGTATATGTGAGCTTTTCTTAACCCTAATGAGGCTTTGTGATGTAGTGAGATGTAAAGAAATGGCTTTGGAGCTTTGTATTCAAATTTTGCATCAACGGTTGATTTTGTTGGTAGATAAAGCTGCAATTACTTATTGTTTTCATCCCCGATTAATCTGTCGACTTGATAAATCGATTCATCGCAAACTGATGGAAGTTGTCTGTGTTTCACAAACCCAAGATGACGCCTCTAATAAGCCAAACATATTCAGTTTCCTGTTAGAGAGGAGAAATAAAAACCAGAAAATATTCAATTTGAAAAAGCTGGAATTGGAAGATTTTGACGTTTTTTAATTTAAAAATATATATATATGACTCAAACCACTGAATCTATTATTAAACATGTGATGATTAATCTACCAGTTAATCGATTAATCGTTGCAGCTCTGATGGCAAAGATGTCCTGCTGTGAAATGGACTCTGAGCTCAAGCTTGTACTGCGTTTGAATGTCCACAGAGGGGCGTAGTGGACCAGTTAAACCGAAAACCTCTGAATGAGAGACAATCAAAGAGAGAGAGAGAGCTGGGTGAGGGAGGGAGGCGGGGGGGAGGTTTGCATGCACAGCAATAAAACACAGAGGATGGGGAGCACGAAAGTCAATGAGAGGGAGACAGGGAGTGTGTCCACTTGATTCAGTGAAAACCAATTAAAGTCCCGGCCACACAAGTGAACAGAAAGTGGTTGATTTCGAGCTATTTTTAGCCTCCTGCCGCCTCTGAGCCCTACAGTAGTGTTTAATCATTCAAAAGTATTGAGTGTGCGCACTTCGGCCAATTAGGCCAGATCCCCTCTGTGTCACATTCACACCGAATTAACGACACGCAAGTGCAGCAGCTTAACCGACCAGTGCTTCAGCCCCTTTTCCTGGTTTTTAGTCGCACCAATCCAGAAATTAAAACCTCAAAACTGTCCAAAGTGCGCGCAGCCTAATTGGGTGAAGGGTTGGAGAAAATCTATCTGATTAGCCTTCTCCAACAGACGGGGATTAAAGCTTTCAGTCTGTAATTATTATAAAGCATACGTCAGCAGATATCCACCCATTTCAGGCAGACAGTGCAGCGGAGGGATGTCCTCCTAGGTGACCGTGAGGCCCGAGCCAGCCAGACGTGGGGATCCAGGAACAGGACGCAGGAACAGGAATCTCCTCCTGAGTCAGTGCCACGACGCTGACACACCACGCTCCCCGGCACGGCTGCTCCGATAATCAGCATCCTATGCTATTCTGCTCAAGATGGCGGTGCAGGCAGCGGAAAAGGACGGAATAGTGAGTATTTTCAGGCTTTACAGGGGAACCGGGGCGGCGGGTTTCGTGTACGGGCGTTTATTTCAGCGCATAACGGCCTCCGGTTTAGATTTTTACGCACCGTTATGTCGATTATCCGGCGCTTATTGTAAATGCCGCCGTGCGCAGCGCATTCAGAGGCGACTCCTCTTTCATCTGTGGCCGTGGGAGGAAACGGGAAATCCACTGTGGTGAAACGTATCCGCGGTGTTTGCTCACCTAGGCCGCGCACACCGGTGCTCGCGACGTCGCGCACAAATTCTGGGGCTAATTTCTAATCTCGCCAAACGTATGTGTGATAACATGACAGGTCTGCTGCCACCGAGTCATTGTCGCAAGCGAGGCCACACCGGGTATCTGTTGAATGAAAGGCCCGCAGCCTCATGTGGGGGGTTTAACCTGAGCCAGGTCAGCTTAGAGCCAACCTGACGGAGCGAGAAATGATAGTTTGCCTCCTGTGTGTGTTTTTTGTCACTGGTGCTGAAGAATGTGGAGGATGACCACCTGAACGACTCGCTGGGGAACCCCGGCCTCATCTCACCTGACAAGGAGGATTTATCGCGTCTCCTGGTAGGAAATATCCTAACTGGTGTCCTTATTTGATGCGCACTCCTCGCTGTGCGTAATAATTCAGTGTGTTTTGCATAGACGGTGCCATTCAGCGGGCGCATCCGGGGCGGCATGCGGCCAGGGAAGAAGATCATAGTGATGGGCATTGTCGACCTGGAGCCAGACAGGTAAGATAAGACCTCTACAGAGCATGCACACCCTCCTTATCTGCAGCCTGGCTTTTTATCTCTGCATATTTGTCATTTGAATACATCCATATGCATGCTGCAGGCTGATTTGCGGAGATACTGCTGTGAGGCCAGTCAGACTTGCACAGCCACTCCAGGACACACTGCGTGGGCAGCCGGAGAGAATGGTGGCTCCTTAAGTATGCAGAGACAGGGCGTTCCCTCGCCAGCAGGGAGGAAAGAAAAAAGAGGGGGAAAAACACAAAAAAAGCAGCCCCAGTGACTTGTTTGGGTGTGTCCTCCTACCCTACATGGAAACTTGTGTTAAACTTGGAAGAAGCCTCCCGATGACCTCATCTTGTTCACTGCTGGCAGAGCATTCATGCCAGAGTTCATGTGAATGTCCCGGCTGACGAAGCTCCTCGGAGGCTCAAAACACACAGCTGTTTTCCTTTGTTGCATCTCCGCGGTTTGGAAATTTGTTACTGTAACCATGGACACGCGCTGAACACAGAGATGCTTGTGAGCTGCACAGCTGCAGGGGAGGGAGGCTGAACCCCAAACTAGCAGCAGGGATTATGCATAATTAACACTCAGTTGGTTTGCAGCAGCAGAATTGTGCATTTGACTCATCCCAGATTAGCCACTCGGACATCTGACGTCCACTTTGCCATCTCAGGCCTGTGTTTCCTTCCTCCCTCAGCTTCAACGTCAGCCTGACCTGCGGCCGTGACTCGGAGAAGGAGGAGTCTCAGCATGACGTGGCCCTGAAGCTCACCGCTCGCTTCACCGACCGCCAGTTCCTGCGCAGCGCCAAAGTCTCTGGGAAATGGACAGAGGAGGAGGCGTCCACCGCCTACTTTCCCTTCATCCCCGATCAGCCTTTTAGGGTAAAAGATTCATGATGTGTTCTCATGTCTAATGATGCTGGGCTCCTCCCTTCCCTTCCAGGGGGGCAGGTGTTGTTGGCTGCTGGCTGTTGTGGAGGAAGCTGGATGCTCCCTTTTGTTTGGGCTCCTTCTCTTTTGACCTGATTGAGGCTCGTTGTTTATTAACATGGTTTCACTTTGGGCATCGTTTGTGTTCACTCTTCACTCACCGGGTTGATTTGGCTCTGCAGACACATCTATGAAAGCCTTTAGTGGACCAGTTTGTTCCCTTGTTGCCCCCCTGTCCAGTTTATTTCAAATAGTGGCAACAGGCTCTTTTTGAATGCAGCACGTTTTAGCTGCAGGCATTTTCAAGACATGTTTGTCTCACTGCTCACAAAGCTTTCGTGGCCGACCTTGTGCAACCAACAGGGGATGATGGCCAAGCCCGGTTCTGAGAATGTGACGCAAGCAAGAATGCTGCAACGTTTAACTGGTTCCAGGTTCTTTTCAACACCTTGTCTTTCATTTAGCTTTACATAATTGATGAGGTTGCAGTCACATGACATATACATGTTAATACACTGAGTAAATATGGAACTAAAGCTTGATTTTTAGACCTTGCAATCACAATATCTTTTGGAATAATTGCATTTCGATATTTTCCACCAAACTAATCTAACAAAAGTCTTAATAACTTTAATATCTTCAGATTGGTTCACTGAATAGTCATGCAAAGTCTCTGTCATTAACAGCGAATGGGCTAAAACATGCAAATTATTGTTGTTCTTCTGTGTCCAAGAGTTTGTTTGCAAAGGTGGACTTTTCTGTTTAAGAAATCTGAGCGATGACCTCGTGTCACAATGGTGACGTCGCAGCAGAAACATGTAGAGACAAACAGGAAATGCTTTCCTCGGCGCAGCTTATGCGTGTAATGTAAATACAGCCCGTGGTCTGTTTACTGCATGAGGGGCTGCATCAGCTGTTCATGTGCTGGATGAGGTCAGGGGGCTTTGAGCAGCAGGACGAGCGCACGATGAGTAATTGTTGGACCCGAGGACTTGTTAGGTCTTTAATGTCGTATTCCGCTCTAGTTGTTCTGAATGTGGACACGAAGAACGCAGATGGTGTTCAGATGAAAGTAGACGAAGCTGCATTTAACCAGAGAAACCTGCTCCCAGACTGATGCACCAGAGTTTCTACTAGAAGCTGCTTTTAACAATGAATAATACCCTAAAACTACGACGGTCACAGCAGCTAATGGGTTATTTTTAGAGGCGATTCCTGCCTGCGGTTGCTGACTGTCAGCTCCCTGATAAAGTCCTGTTGTTTGTGGTCGGAGTGTGACTGAGCAACTCGGCACAGTCATGACCGTGTCAGAGGCTGCGAGCTGCAGATTAACGTCTCCAACAAACTATCTCATGGATTTGGAGACATGTGGCCGAACACATGATGCGCTGCGGCTCCGGAGCAGGACGGCTCACTTCTGCTGCTCCGTCGGAAACAGTTTTCCTCGAGCAGTGAGATCACACCTACAAGTTTGCTGTCTTTGATCCAAACCACAGAGAAACTGTTGCTCTGTTGTTCTCGAGTCATTGAGGTTCACTGATGGCAGAATTTTGGGGGTTTTGTACACACAGCAGATATTAAGCATCAGTTCAGAATGTAGTTTGAACTTTTTATGTAAAAGCAGATGGCTCCTCGTCTTATACATCAACTTTTGCTAAGTAATTGTTTGCAAAAAAGATGTGCAACATGTAGGGTTTCCACCTTTTAGCGTCTTTAATTCATTGTTTTGTTTAAACATCTTGTCGTTTTAATACTTTGTGACTCTGTACAGCTGATTCTGGGGCTCACAAGCTGTTTCCAGACAAATACGTCGACACCAAACACTAGAAAAGTTCGTTACGTAGCCACGTTTACTAGCTAAAGTGTAATAAATGTTCCTCAGGATCTGGTGGAGACCAAAACTGAGCTAAAACATCTAAATATTGGACTCGCAGCCGACAGAAATGTAACTCCAAATGAATGAAAGCTTGATCTCAGGCTGGTAGTTTTAATGCAATCTTTCTAAAAAATTAAATAAAATGAAGTCAAATGCAGACAGAAAGTCATTACAAGTGTTTTCAATACCACATCTATTTTTTTTTATTACTTTGCCTTTTTTGAAGCTGTCAAAAATAAGCAAATCTCCTTTAAAGTGTTTAGCTGGACGGGCGTTTTCCTGTAAACTCGTCACACGCAGGACGCCATGTTTGGTGTTTTTATAGTGATTGTGTTTAACTAACAAGCGGCTTGAATAGTTGAACATTTACAGAAGTGTCCTCGTGTCTCCTCAGGTCATAAAATCAAGTTCAAGCAGAGTGCAGGTTTTTTTTTTTTAACTTTCATTTCTGTGGGAATTTTTCAGAGTTTAAACAAAGTACTTGGTGAGAATTTACTTTTATTTTGGAGACGCTCGGCACTCGTAAATGTGGCCGAACACTCTCATGAATTGACTTATTTGGACTTGTTTTTACAAAGGAGGTGGACGTAAGATAGAAAAGATTATAAAAGGAGTATGAAGCTAAAGCCAGCAGCCAGTTAGCTTAGCATAGCACCTGGAGGCTTGGTTTTAAGTTGATGTTTTGCTCGATCACAGCTTGCGTTATTCACATCTCTCCGTCCTTTTCCCTCTTTTCCTCCCTGCAGATCGAGATCCACTGCGAGCACCAGCGGTTCCGGATATTCGTGGACGGACACCAGCTCTTTGACTTTTATCACAAAGTAAAATCTTTGCCGTCTATCGACACAGTACGGATACAAGGAGACCTACAGATCACCAAGCTCGGCTAGCTTCCCGCTCTGCAAGTCGTTTGTGAAGCGAGGACTGGATCACAGATGACCGCACACACACTCACACACACTCACACACACACATATGCGCCTGTTACGTCATCACCCATAACCCATCATGCAACGCTGCGGCCGCATAGCCGCTGGAAAAAGGCTCCGGCAGCGACAAGTTAGAGTTTCTTCTGCTTCTTTTCTTTCTGTTCGACCAGGATCTGATACGACGACGATGATGATGATGAAGCTTTGTGGGTGAATGTGTTTGCTCCGTTTTCAGGTATCTGTCCTCGTAGCCCCAGTTTTGTCAGATCAGGGATTATTTATAGCACGTTCATTTTAATCCTGTTGAATCCTTCGGGGAGGCAGAGATGGAGGCAGGTGTGGAGGGCTTTCGGTATCACGGAAAAATAACTCAGATGTTCTAGAAACCAGTTACTCAGGAAAAAAAAAAAAAAGCATCACCGAGCAGCTGATATGGAAAAAATTATTAGTGACTGATTCAGATGATTCACTTCGGTTTAGTGACTTTAAAAATCTTAGAACTGGAAAATGCACGTTCACCCTGAATCCGAGCAGCGTTTGAATATTCAGTCTGAGCCTTTTCTAACTCCCACATGGGCTGAAACATGATTTTATATCAGATGAATCTGGTTTAAAGCAAAAAACAACGATTGCAGATTCTGGCAGCCCGGCTGGATGTGTAGTTATTGTTCATCTTCTGGAAACTCTTATCTTCTGATCACGATAGAGCAACACCCTGTTTTCTGATGTATCCGTCGGTGCTCCTCTGCCATCCCTTGGGTTTGATCCAGTTGTCATGGTAACACGCTGCAGCCTCACCGACCCAAATACCCCAAAATGAGGATTATATCATGACAAGGATGTGGCGTCCCATATTGAGCATGGTTGTGTTAGTTTGCGCTCATCTTAGCGGTCGCTGCAGCCCTTCTCCCGTCTGTGCGGCGGCGTTCTGGCTGTTTGCTCCGGTGAGGGAGGAGATTAGAGGAAGTTTTGATAAACAGGTTTATGAATTGGACTCTGCTCCCCGCCGCTGCACTCACCAAACAAACCTCACAATATGCAAGCTCTCCGTACTCTCACAAAGCAGCAGTTGTTCAAAAAAAACAAAAAAGGCATTTCTCTCCAAAAGTGTGTGCACGTGTCGATCTGAGCGCCTTCAGTCGCATTCGACGGTCAGTTGGGGAGCAGGAGCGGATCCTGGTGGTGTTTTGAATGTATAGTGTTCATGTCTCTACAGTAGCATAGACGATATTAGACCACGCACAGAATCATTTCTTTAAAAGTGTCTCGGTGGTATGGCTGGTGCTGTTATAGTTTACGTCTTTTCTGTTTCCTGAATCATTCCACATCAGCATCTCGTCCGCACCGAGGCGGACAAACACTATAAATCAGCCTTGTTTGATACGGCCAGCAGGTTCTTCATGTTAGCGTCACGTCTGTGTTGCATCGCACCGTTTTGTCTTTACAACAAGTCCTTCCCTTAGGGAGACAGCGAGTTATCATAAACACTAATAGCTGCGGTTATCTTCGATGCAAAACTCTTGAATATTAAAAGTGTTAAGGTGCTCTGTTTACGCCTCTTCCAGTATCGACGCTCTGTGAGGTCACTGCACAGGTTTCAGGGTGGTGTTGTTCTCGTGAAGGGTTCATAAGACGAATCATTTGCTAACGCTTTGTGGATCAGTTGTAATACTTTAATAAGAACAGCTTTCGGGTTGCCAGGTTGTGAAAAATCCCCCTCGTGTTTGGTGATTGTGCAGCTTTAAGGCTGGTAAGCGTCTAAAAGTCCATCCCTGCTGCAGCTGTACATGCTAATGAAGTTCACCGACTGATTAATTGGACGTGGAGTTTGGTTTAGATGCAATGCAGCCGACCGAGCTTCATTTTCTGGTATAAAACGTTAGCAAATGATTTAATAACTGAAACCTACTCGACTTATAGACCCTTTATGAGAAGTCTTACGTTAAAAAGTGGCGCTGATTCTGCTTTTTTTCCATTTTGGTGACAGTAAAACTTGAGCTTGTTGGATCATCTCTACACAGAGCGTATCCACGTTTGGGTCGACAGCTGCACAAAGCTGCACAGAATTCCCGTTAAGATTTTGACATTCGAAGCATTCCGTCACAACGAGTTCATGAGGATTCTCTCCCACCGTCTCTCGCTGCTGTGAATTAAGCCATGACATCTGTGCAGAGCAGTTGCACTCGATAATTGATGCTCGCGTTAATGAAGCTTCCTGGCTAAAGGAAACCTCTTTTTTTTTTGTTTACCATCTCATTACCTGCGTGCAGCATCCATCAGAGCGGAGAGTTCTGTCTGTGCGTGCACTGAGTATTTATTAGTTCCTAGCAATAACTCGACTGCCCGGGAGCAGGACTTGTTTTCGCCTGACTGGTCAGACAAGGTCTTCCTCCGTCGTCTCCCGGCAGGCGCTGGTTTGTTTCGGACACAAACGCGAGGGCGCTGAGGGGTTGCATTCAGAAGGATAGGAGCCAGCGTGACGCATCATTTCCTCCAGTATTACAGCCGAACAAATGTGTACAAATTGCTGTGTTGATGGGGTGTGTTGTTGGGGTTTTTGTGTTCTTTCTATTAACTGGTGACCATTTGTAACTCTACAGTTTTCCTGTAATGACATGTTGATATAACTCTTAAGTGTGACTCGGCGGTTCGTTTCAGTGACGTAGATTCGAGGGGTCGAAGTGGGCTTTTGGGTTCTCAGCAGCAGGAATGATGGGGGAGGGAGACGAACAATTCAAGACTTCCTGAACTAAAGGGCTTGAACCAGGAGGCTTTTTTTTTTTTTTTTGTGCGACTGCGTGTGTTTGCGTGAGCGTGTGCAGGAAATGGGTTTCGTTGTGGGTTTTCCAGCTGTGTACGAGCACGGTGGTGTGTTCTGTTTCTTCTTCGCGGTGCAGGTACACGATCAGCTGGACGGTACTTGAGCTTTGGTTCTGTTGCACTTTAAAAAACAAAAAACAGTGTTGGTGTCCACTTACAAGACTCACAACTGCTTAGTATTACACTTAAAACAGACATTTTTGTGCGTGGAAACCCTTTTATTGTGTTTCTTCCTGAAATACAACGTTCCTGATCTCCTCATGATCCCATCTTTCGAAGAACAATCTTGGGAATTCGTCATTCGTCGCCCCTTGACTATTAATTTAATTGTTCTACAACCCTTTAAAGATATAAGAAAAGCTGAATGTCATTCTCTTCCTGATTGTAATCTGATGATCTCCCCGGTTATTTAGAATCTGTTGTGACATAGACGTTTGCACCTTTCCTGCCCTGAAAATTGTAAGAAAACCCGTTTATCTGACCCAGGTCTGTACCCAGCTTTTGGACTTTGGATGTACATATTTGTGAGCGCGGCCTCCTCGGTGGGCTTCGTCTTTTTTACGGATAACAAGCTGAGCTGAAAGCGTTTTGTTGTGCATGTAAGCAAGTACCTGGCGATGCTGTAAACAGGTTGACATATTACCGGTATATTGCCAGTTTTGGTTTCAGTCAAGCATGCTGTTTTATTTTATTTTTTTTAAATCATCTATCCGACGTGTTTTCTTTCCGCCTGTTTACTTTTATAGCCTAGTGTGTATGAAAATGAAAGTTTAGCGCTTACCTTGATATTAAATTAAACATATAGACGCCCAAAGCAAGAAAATGGACACAAATAAATCAAACTATTACCCCGTGATTTTTTTATTTTTATTTTTTAAAGTAGAACAATGAAATAAATTCCTAAAAAAAAAGTGCTAACTGACTTCATCACGTCCAAGTGTCCTCTGAGTAGAAGTAGGCCGATCTGTTGCTAACGTGTCGTGTGGTTGTACAATCATGTCATCATTTCTATTTATTGCAGTGTAACCGGCAGGGTGGTGGTGAAGACAGTCTGTATTGCTAACATGCCCGTTTTCTGCTGTTTCTATGAAGGCATATTGAAAAGTTGAGTCTTTTTTTGTAATAAGAGAAAAAGCCCCGGCTGCTGTTCTTTCAACTGCAGGTTAAACATCATCTTGACGCCAGTTTTTCAGGGATGTTCCCCGTCTGAGGATCACCGGGGCGTCTCGTCACTTTGATCTTCTGAAGGTCTTTCATCTTCCCCGAGCATCGTGTCGGCTGTTTGATCAGCGGAGCAGCTTTTTTCTGGTTGTCACACATAAAAAAAACAAGAAACAGGAGCACTTGTACTTAGACGTGATGCCACATAATCAGAAAAATGACCCCAAGTTTAGTGTCTTGTTGAACACGGGACCAGTGTTTAGATGAAGACGGTACACTCTAATGTCGTTCTTTTTTTTCTCCTTATGCTTTTGTAAAAACAGCTACTTTGCAAACCAATAAACTTCTCATCTTGGAAAGTCCTCGTCTCCGTCTGTAAAGGCTGAACGCAACTAAAACAAGCAGCTACACCCCAGAAGACAGGTTAGCCCAGAAAAAGTGGGTTGTTGGTCACATTTTGTTGAGTTAACGCTGACGAATGAGTCTTATGGTGCAAATATATTGTAATGCACGAGTGGATAATCCAAGCAAGACAGCGTTGCATCTTTACTGCATGCTTTGTGAGATTGTGTTGAACTTTTTTGCACAATTTTCCTGCTAAATTTTTAAAAAATCTGTCCACTGTTATACATATATTTAGTTTTTCTGATTATATGTAGAGAATGGTGAGAAAAGACTGAACAAAATGTTGTCTTGTACACTTTTTTTTGCAGGAAATTGAGGGAATAGCCTCTTGAAAACATTAATTAGTGAGCCTTCATATTCACAAGAGAAACGTCTTTGTGATTTGGAGCTAAATCACAAACATCTGAGACAATTACAAACATTAATCAAGGGTAAAATCATCCATACTGACAAAAACTGTACGCCAAGATCAGAGGAAAACAAATAAAAAAATGTAAATTAATTATTATAATCAGCAACAGAAGCTGGAGTCAAAGTCTTAAACCTAAAAATATCATGAAAGCCTAAAAAAACAACCTAATTAATGATGAAATTCAGTGTCTCAGGTGCCACCAGTTCAGCTTCTAGAGCATGAAATATAAGTTAACCCTTTCAAAGTAAGAGCACCATCCTCCTGGACACAGTTCAGTTCAGTGAGAAGACAAAGAATGACTGACAGGAACTAAACCGAGAGGGAAACGTGACATATTTCTGTCCCACATCTTGAGTAAATGACAAAATCGGAGCGACTGAACATTCTTTCATGTTGAAGAGATGCAGCTGAAGCCTCAGAAGAAGTGCTTCCTCCTCAGCAGGAGTGGAGTCCCGACACGGAGTCCCGACACAGACAAGATCTGTGATTATTCCAGCACATGAAAGAGGAAGAAATTCAGCTGGAGGCAGCGCTGGACTCTGCTCCCTCCATCCGTGTGGAATAACTTCAGAATGGAACGGAAGGAGCTGCCGTCTATCAGGCCTCTTCATCGGGCCGCTCTGCTGCTGCACATGCAAATAAAGAGAAGGGAGAAGACGAGAACAGCAGCCAAACCTCCTGTCAGGCAGCTGCTGTCTCTCCAGAGAAGCTGAGCTCACAGAGGCAGGAATTCATCTGTGGAAACACTGAGCGAACGCTGTCACATCTGCTGTACTTGTTTTAAACAGGACGTTGACCTCGACAGACATGTGGGCAGCAGCCATGATGGAGGGAAGCTATTTAAGTGTGAGGCCTTCCTGCATGGACCTGATGATGCACCTGCACACAGAGAAACCTTTAAACTGTTGGTTCCTAAAAGAATCCATGCAGGTGACTGTTAATGTGTCTGCAGCAAATGTTTTAGCAAAAGCATGACAGAAGGTTAGTGGAATGGAGTCTAGTCCTTTGTTGCTCACGACATTTAGGCTCATATTAAGACTGCAACCCAAGACTAATATTATTATTGATTATTTATAAAGAGAAAGCACAAAATCTGGATCCATGAAATGTTCTGATAATTAAAAGTTACTTAAATTACTCATTATGAAAATGGTGGCTCGTCAGATTCTTATGATCCTACACAACAGCAGCCGTTGACCCAAAGACTTTCTAGTAGACTAATAAGATTTACCAAACAGGGTTAAGACCCCATTAAACTATATATTATATAAAGTTACTTCATTTAAATATTAAAGTTAAAACTGTACAATATTATATATTACACAACTGACCTGACTTAACTTAAATATTAAGGTTAAAACCATGCTATAATATTAATTATATACATTTATATACATTTAACTAATATATATATATATGTGTGTGTGTGTGTGTTAGACCATATAATATTTTATTATATATATTTACCTGCCTAATTTAAATATTATATATTAAACAAATGACTAAATATATAATTAGATATTATATAAATTTATCTGACTAATACAGTTTTTATTATTATTTATTACACAAATTTCCCAAATTTAAATTTTATATATATCAAATATATATTAAACTAATTTACCCAATTAAACAAACAAAGAAAAACAACTAAGGTTAAGATCCTACAATATTATAATTTGTATGTGATGTTTTATATTATACAAATTTTCTTGTCTAATTTAAATATTGAGGGTAAGATCATTCAATATGACAGTATGAGTTTATTTATTTAATTTAATAATATCTATTATTTTTAATTACTTGGTGGTAATTAAAATGTATTTTGATATAGCCTGAGGATAAACAGTTTTAAATTTGTCCCAGACTTTCCAGCAGGTAAACGCACCTTCTGCGTGTTTTTAGAACCGCTTTCACAAACACGTGAAAAGTTTGTATCGTGGGACTACTTTTTCTGTGTGCGCATGTACACGCTGACCGCACAACAGGACGAGTGGCTGTTTTGACAGACTTCATCCGCAGGAGGAGCTGCTGAGCTAACAGCTAACAGGCTAACATTAGCATCCATGTAATATTTACATAAACTCATAATAATTATTATAATTATAAATATGCCGCACTGCTGCGCCGTGAAGACGTGCAGAAATAAGGCGGACACCGGCTCCGTCCTGTCGTTTCACCGGCTGCCGCTGAGGGAACCGGAGCGGCTCAAACTCTGGCTGTTCGCCCTGAACGTCGATGTCAACACTCCGGGACGGGAGCTGCGGAAGCTCGTCGTCTGCTCCGAGCACTTCGTACCGGAGGACTACACCGCTAACCGGCAGCCGAGGACCGACACGGTGCGCCGCTTCCTGAAGCCCACGGCTGTCCCGACCGTCGGCGTCTCCTTCCGCTCACCTGGACCAAGTTTAGCGCAGGTGAGTCCATCAGTTGTATACTGGTACTGATAAATACCTGAGAACTTACATGACAGAAAAACACTCGTATGGAGTAGTGAGAGCGGCAAATTATAAAATAAATCAAAAAAAGAATAATGAAACAAAAATGTAAATAAAAAGAAGAATAAAATAAATAAATAATGTGGAAATATAAAGCAATATTAATCAAAAATGAATCCAGAAAAGAAAAGACTAATAAAAGCAGAATTATGAAGACAAATAAATAAAATAATAATCATTTATTTATTTATTATTGTATTTATTCATTTATTTTTTATTTTTTAATAATGTCGCTTTAAAAGCAAAGGAAATATGCGCACATTTTTATGCACATTTTCCCTTTGCTTTTAAATTTCAATTACTTAAAAAAAATGTTTTTAATTTGAACAATAATAAAATAAATAAACAAAAATAAAACCATTAAAAAACAAATAAATAAAAATAATAAATAATAATTAGTATTTTATTTATTTGTCTATTTACGACATTTACACTAAAAAAAAAACATGACAGCTGAATTACTGCCACTAAATTAAGTATTTATGCCAATTAAAAATACAAAAAAAAAAAACATTCTTAGACAAAGTTTAATGCTGTTTTTTCGTGTTTGGTTTTTTTTTTTTGTTTGTTGTTGTTTTTTAGTAAAAAAGTAAATACAACAGACATGAGTTTTTCAGACCTCTACATCATCAGTGTGATTTTTTTTCCTCCTGAAAAACCAGATGTATGAAGTCAGACACATGCAGCGTGAAGATAATCCACCATGCATCAGTAAATCCTGCACAAAAAAAGAATTATACAAATTTAAACTCACATGTGAAAATTTATGTTTAATTACTTTTTTTCATTTGTCAGAAAGCTTAATAAACACTCCAGTTTTTTTTTTTTAATGTTTTATTTTCACCATGATATAGACGAAAACTTGGTTTAGTTTCCTTCAGGTGAGCTGCTCCTGGGCTCATGATGTTGTGGTTTGCTGTGAAACATAATAAAACTCAGCCGTCATTAACAAAATTAGTTTCTTCTGCAGCAACAAGTCAAAACGTCTGCAGGGAAATCTTCTGTTAGCGTTATGGGGGGCAGACCAGAGATTCTCTTGGAGGTAACAGTCAACCACGGCCTCCTTTAATATCTGAGCTTCTGGAAATGAAGGTGATTATTAGACTATAAAACGATAACGATGTGCCTCCAGCCTGCAGCACACTCATAAATGAATCCTCACCACTTCCTGTTGGCAGATACCAGAGCTGGCACACCAGTTTAAAAGTCTTTCTCTTAATGATTTAGTCATTTTTACCTGCTTTTCCACTTCATGTTAGTTATTTTTAGGCTCATATGCTGCAGACAGCAGCAGGTTTAGGATCCACTCTCTGATCTTCAGAAGTCGGGCCGCTGTGAGGGAAACTCCAGAATCTTCTGCTTGCATTTCTTGAAGTGGGTCACGGTGGAACTGGATGTCTGCTTTGAATAACTGTCCTGAGCTTCATATTCAGTGTCTTACAGTGCAGCACTGCTCCAGAGACGGTTGAACCGTCCTCTAGCTCCTCTGCAGTGACAGAAAAGTTCTGGTTTGTTTATTATGCAAACGGATGCAGCTTTTTGCAAACTCACCGAGACGAGTGATGATTCTTTATTTTTCAAAATCCAGAATATAAAGTTGCTCCAGTTTCCACAGTGAACATGTTGTATGTGGGAGTGAAGCAGGTCTACATAAATCACACATTAAAGACTCCTTTAAGTGTTTATTTTGTCTTTTAGCGCATACTGAGTGGAGGTAATGTTCAACAGGATTCAGGAGACGGCTCGACCACGGATGTATTGCATGACTCTCATTCCTGTGAAGGTAAGACATGATGAGAAGCTTTTATTGTTGTTTTAGGTAAATGCTGGAGACTTGAGATGACAATTGTTAAATCTGATATAGGAGATATTGTAGAAAACAAGACTTGAAGAACACAAATGTCACAGTTCAGTGGCTCTTTGTGCCGCAGAGAATTTTATTGCACAATAAAAATATTCAAAAGTGCTTTACTGGCTGTAACTCTGACTGTAACAGTTAAGACACTTGATTTCTACGTACTGTAAATAAGAAAATAAATGTCCATTACCACACAACAGCCAGCAGTGTAGTCTCACCTGTAACGAAAATGCACAAAGTAAAACTGTCTTCCTCTTTTTGTCGACATTAAGGAGACAATCATCTTGTGTTTTTTTGGATTTGTGGACAAAACCGACTGCTGGTTTGATTCTGACATTCAGCTCCACATGTTGACCAATCGATCGATCGGTGTGATTAAAACTCAAGTTTAACATGTAGTGTGAGTTCGTACATGTTTAATAAAATTGGCAGAGCTTTTACATCTAACTCTGTTTACATGCTGTAGCTGTTAAACAACTGGTCCACCTCCAGAATGTTCTGGTTGAAGCTCGTCCTCCAGATAGTTGATCCACATCCTGACATGACTTCACTTCTGACCGATTACCGTAATGTCCGGACTATAAGCCTCTACTTTTTTCACACGCTTTGAACGCTGCAGCTTGAACAACTTACTAATTTATGGATTTTTACGAATTTGCCTCGAGACCAAAGTGACATCGAGAGCGACAACGAAAGAGAGACTGAGGACGTAGTTCTGAGGCTGAAGAAGACGACTTTAGTGGTTTTAGTGCAGGAGGAAGATGAAGATAGCGATCAATGACTTTTCCTGGTAGGCTGCTGTAGTTTTATTTTCCTAACCAGCCGTGTTACAGGAACTGTTCAGAAAAAAGCAAGTTAATGGGTGCGGCTTATATTCAGGTGCGCTCAATAGTCCGGAAATTATAATATTTGTCTTTCTGAACCAAGCACTGCATCCTGACTGACTGACTTCTCAAGACATGTTTTTAGACAGACTCTTTTTCTATGAATATGTCACCAACTCATGTACGTCTTCTACTTTACTTAAAGGTCAGCGTAAGTGCACTAAATGTCTCAGGTTTCCTCTTTGTCCTTTAGAGCCGACCTCTGAAGAACCACCTCCTTCACTGCAGCTTCGCGTCATCAAGGTGGAACAGATTCCCATCCTGGAGGAACCAGAGACCCACCTACAGGTCAAAGAGGAGCGGGAGGATCGGTGCATCAGCCCAGACGTGGAGGCCGATGCTTCCAACAGCGCTCAAGCCAAGCATCTTAAATCTGAGCCGAGCGCTAGCTGTGAGCTCCTTCCTTCACCCGGCGCTCCAACAGAGAGTTTAAGTGATGGTTCGCTGTCGCCTCGTCACAGCGTTGAAGTCTTTGTAGAACTGGAGCAGCCTCCCAGGGAAGAAAAGTCTTGTCATATTTGTGGCAAAAGTTTTAAAAAAGACTCGTATCTGATAAGACACGTAAACAAGAGCCACAAAGGACGGCGGGCCTTCAGATGCCTGCTGTGCGACAAGGAGTTCGACCAGCGGTTCCAGCTCGTTCTGCATGTGAGGAGCCACACAGGCGACAAACCCTTCAGCTGTGACTACTGCAGCAAAACGTTTGTTCAGAACTCAAGTCGTCTCGCTCACATGAGAGTGCACACGGGGGAGAAACCTTATTTTTGTGCAAAGTGTGGCAGAAGTTTTGCCACCAGCAATCATTTCAAATTCTGCAAAATGCACAGTGAAGGCAAAGTGACGCTAGAAGAACGAGAGGACGCTGATCAGAAGGAGGAGAAGGCCTTCAAATGCTTCCAGTGCAACAAGGAGTTTGATAAAAACCACCAGCTGGTTCGACACGTCAGAGTGCACACCGGAGAAAAACCCTTCAGCTGTGACTTTTGCGGGAAAACTTTCACCCAGAACTCCAATCGCGTCGTTCACATGAGACAGCACACCGGAGAGAAACCGTATTTTTGTGATAAATGCGGCAAGAGGTTTGCCAGCAGCCACCATCTGAAGTTGTGCACGGGGAGGCAGCCCAGAGGCTCAGATAAGTTGTTCCGCTGCACGATCTGCGGCCGAACGTTTCACACCGATTCAAACCTGAAGGTGCACTTGGAGGCTCACGAGTCGTGGCAGCGACACATCAGTCGGAAACTGCAAGGACACAAACTGGAGGAGAGAAAGATTAAAGCAGTGTGAAGCAAAACATCAGAGACTGAAACCTACAATACGGTAAATGATGCAATGCAGCAGGTGTGTGTCTGTAAAGCAGCAGGAATTAAAACAACCTGTGGACTGAAGCAGCCGATCATTTGATTTAGTGCAGAAGAAGAGTCATGTGACACGTTAATCGCCTCCTTTTATGTGAACAGAGTCTGAAGCAGAAAGTCTGAGTTGACAAGGAAAGTTGAAAACCGCCTTCGTGATACCCGTTATCCCTGACTGGGGCTTCAGTTTTTGTCGAGCCGGCTTACACAAAGGATGTCAAACTGGCTCCACAGTGCAGCCCTCTGGTCCGAAGATAGTGGAGCAAACTGAGCTAAAGTTCATCTTACAAAAAGACATTGAAGTTATGTCTGTGAGGAACCAAATTATATTTCATTGTGGTGCTAAACAGAGACAAAACAGTGATCCTTGAAGAAATGGAGGAAGCAGATACTGACATCAAAGGTGGAACGTCCATCAAATCAGCAGCAGAAGATAGAATACTGACAGGCCGACTGATATATTCTTTGACGCTGAGGTTGAAGGTGTCAGACGGGTCAAACCCTCCATCTCTGCTGAGCTTCTTCAACCATTCCTCTGCACATTCGCACCCTAAACACACAGGATATGTTCTACAATTAAACTCAAATCGTACCCAAAAGTCAGGAGCCTATGAATAAAAGCACTTTGAAGGAAAGAATCCTGACTTATATGTGTGAAAGGCAATAAATTAAAAAGCCTCATCATGAGAAGAGAGAAAATAAACAGAAAGATAAGAAAACAAGGAGAGAAGTCACAGTGTGCAGCAGCTCTGAGGACTGTGGTGTTCAAATAGCACGTGTTGACTGAGGATTAGAGAAGTGGAGCTCAGATTGTAGAGCATCGCTGCAGTGAGAGGTTTGTCCTTCTATCAAAGGGAAGAGCTGGATGGAGCAACGATTCAGATTCCCCCTGCAGCCGTGAAAACCGTGAAGTCGATTTTAAACGTTGAATGATCTGGAAGCTCTACCAAGATGGCTCAAGTTGCCCTGAACCTGGGGACGGTTGAGCCACAGATGTCTTAAACTTAAAGGTTATTTTTTTGATCCACTGAACATAAACGCCCCTGCTTGGTTTCTGTTAATTTATACTGATGGTTGTATCCTGACTGCTGCCTTAAACGGATCGGTTGGTTATGATGCTCTTGTCTTAATGGTCCTTTTATGTTTTTAATGACAGAGTATACGGGTCTGATAATGGAGTGTTACCGGCATCAACATTATCTCTACATTTAAGTGCCTTAGCTGGTCAAGCATGAGTTCCGGCCAATAAACCGCTGTTGAATGTTTACAGTTTTCAAAATAAAAGTGGAAAAATTTTACTCAATGTGATTCTTTTGTTTTTTTGCAAAAATGCTCCAAACAGCAGCCTTCTCCTCCATCGTGGTTCTGTGTACTGAACCAGGCTGAAAGATACGTGCTGTTTATACACTCTCAGTAGTAATTTAATAGTTTTGAGATGCTGGATTTTGGATTTTCTTCAGCTGTAAGCCATAATGATCTAAATAAAAACAGAAAAAGGCTGGAAATCTTTTGCTTTACATGTAGAAGAATAGAATAGAATAGAATGCTTTTATTGTCATCATACGCAGAGTACAACGAAATTAAGAGACAACTCCAGTGGTGCAAAATACAAGTATAAAAAAGATAAATAAGAATATATAAATATATTTACTAAAGGAGCCAGCAGGAAGTAGATACAGTTAGGAATGAGCACAGTAATAGCCAGATGGTAGAATAAATATATTGCACTGTTGAGGTAAGAACACTGTGGATATATGAGAAATATAAACAAATAATTAAAAAATAATATACAATAATAGTATATATATCATATGATATACAATAATTATAAATAAATATAGTATAACATAAATAATAAATATATAATGAGTTTGTGTGCAACATTTTATTTTAATTTGTAATATTTCATATTTATGTACAACATGTCAGTGCAATGTGCAGCATTTTACTGTTATGTATTATATCACTTTACTATCTCAGAATTATTGCCAGTGTTACCTACTTACGTTTTTCTTTTTAATTCTCGCCTTATTTAAACTTTTTAAAATGATTATTTTCTTTAATGAATCTTACTTTTATCTCATTGCTTTTATACAAGGCACTGTCCTTCTCACTTTCTATAAATGTAGTTTTGTGAGCAGTATTTATATATATATTATATTTATATTCCTTCTTGGAGGTGTTGTGTCCAGTGTTCCTGACCCACTCGGTCCTCCCGTGCAGCAGGGGGCGCTGCTCAAACCAACCCCGCACGTTTTAAAGTTGACTCCTCTTGTCGCCATCCGCCTGTTTGTTGCCGGGAGTGGATTCCTCTTTTCAAAATCTCTGCTCCGAGCCTTGCAACTTTTCTTCATTTTTTCTTCCCGGAGATGTCTGTACCGCAGCTGCTCGAACTGGTGGTGACGGAGCGTCTGTCGGCGGCCGCGAAGGAGATCTGCGCTCTGGTGTCCAAGACGCTGAAGGAGTTCCAGGATGAAGCGACCCGCTCCAAGACTGAAGTCCTGCGGCTGAGGAAGCAGATCGAGCAGATGGCTGCCCTCAAACCTCGTGTGGTGATCATCAGACCAGGTCGGTGTCCCCTGAACAGACCGCGACGCGTTCACTGGCAGCCAAAATAGAAAGTAAACATTGGTGCAAGAAGTTTTCAGATACTTTCATTAATTACTGCGCTATGAAAACACTCCACTACGAGTTAAAGTCCTCAATTCAACACTTTACTTGAGAAAAAGTAAATGTTATCTGCAGAAGTAGTAAAAGAAAAATGCTCCCTGTTAATGTTTTACTTTAGTTAAGTCAAAAATAAGTCACAGCAAATTTTATTGTAATTTTCTATTTCATCAATAAACATTAAGAGAATATTGCAGGTGGGACCTTCATTATTATAATCATATTTATTCATCCCCTTCCATTGAAGAAAAGGCAAAATTCACACTCAAATAACTAGAAACTCAAGAAAGTGATAATAAATAAAAATTTGCTAAATTATAATTTAGTGAAATAAGACGTTGTTTTTGAATTGTGGTTGAAAAGAATAATTTTAAAAGAGTTACAGAAAACGCCTGATGGCAGTGATCACTGCTGATCTCCTAAAGAACAGACGGAGAGCTTTTAGGTCAGGGTGGAGATGAGGAGGAAGATCAGAGCGGGGGAATGTAGCTACAAGAAGAAGATGGAGGATCAACTGAATAACGTCAGCAGGTCTGGAGGGGCCTGAAGACCATCTCTGGCCACAAAGACCCCAAGACTGAACCTAGAAGGGACCAGGAGTGGACGAATGACCTGAACGCCGTTTTAAACTGGTTTGAACAGCCAGGCACCCCTCCCCCGGCTCAGTCCACCCTACACCACCCCCGCTGCTCTTTACTGCACCACCACCCCCGCTCTCCTACCACCACACCTCCCCTCCCCCGCAGGGCCCCACACTCACAACCAGCCTTCTTGCCCCAACGTGTTCCTCTGAACATCCCAGGCGAAGAGAGAACTGGGCAGGCTGAAG